AACGTTTATTAATAAATAAAGAATAAAAACGTAAAGAAAAATTAAATAATATTAAAAGAGAAAAAATACTTAAACTTATACGTATAAAAGAAAATAAAAAAATAATAATTAAGTGTAAGAAACGCTAAGAATAAGAGAAAGGGGAGAAAGAGAGAAAAGAGGGAAAAGACAAGAAAGTAATAGTTAGTCCTATTAGCTCTCTAGCTAACTCTCTAAAATAGGGTGTAAAAGGTCTACGGGTACCCGTATAGGTTACTTACCTATAGGCTTTAGGTAAGTATAAGTAGAAAAAAAAGACTTAAATAGATTTATAAGGGAAAATAAGGTACCTATAATTATCTATTAAGAATATTAGGTGTTTTTAGGTATTTAAATAAACCTTATATATTTTATAAATATTTATAAGATACTTATCTTTTTCTTAAGTTACTTATAATATACTTAAATTACTTATATAATAAAATAAATAGCCTATAAATAACCTAAGAAAAACTTAAATACTTACGAGTATTTACGGGTACCTGTTTTTACACTCTAGCGCATATTATATGAAATCACAGAGCTAGGCTATTATACTAATACGCAGTATTATTCTTCTTATTTCAAGTGCTAACTGCACAATTCGTGGCATAATTTAATACAATCCCCGTTCCTGCCGCTAGCAGGTACAGTGGGAAGCAAAAAGGATGTTATCAGTTCAGGTACCAGGCTACCGTGCTCCACACTATAATATACTATCGGATATTAGTATGTACTTCTTGTTTGGCAGATGTATTATGCCGCACACTGTACGTAATCCATTGACCCGAATCACGGTGAAAGTGGCTACTCGATGGCGAAGTCTTCAACGTCAAGTTGACTCGGCCAAGACAAATTTGATGATCACCAACATGCAGAATATTGGGTGTACAAGGGGCTAGACCCGCTGTCAGCCTGCAGATGTCCCTCTTTCCTCTTTCCCCCCCAACGCATGAAGCCCAGGACGTACCAGCTGCAAGCAAGTTTGGGTTCTATTATGGTTCAACAGAGGGTCTTGGACAACCTTCTCCCCGAACGTTACGTTCAAGAATCAAGGTGGTATTGGTGCTCTTGCGTCTCTGCCTGGTGCAGCCCTCCATGTCAACATGACGGTACGGCCCGCAGCCTTGTTTGATCTTTCATGGCACTATACGGAGTACAGGGAACCCTCTGCCAGCCCACAACTACTCCTCTATTCCGATTCCCCTTGTACTCTCTTCTACTCCTAACCCCGTCTAGCTACGACAACATTTATACAAAGTATCCTTAGCAGAACATAGCTTAGCGGTTCCAAACGGCCCGGTGAATAGCATCGCAGAAGCTGTCCCGAGCCCTGACGACAAGGCAAATACGAGAAGCCAGCAAACCCGTCAAGCGTCAGACATGAGTGAGAGGAAAGGTCCAGGTAGGGACGACTACACAATTGGTTGGATATGTCCGATTCTCCCTGAATATGTCGGTGCTATTGTGACAAGGGCTCAAGGAGGGCTTGGAGCTAATAGCTCAATTCATCTAATAACAGTCTTTGGTATCAAAGGTCCTTGGTTTTCCTCAAGGCCTTGAGGGACCAAAGGTGTCTATAAATACAAAAAGTCGGTGATGGTCTTTGCCCTAGGTCTCGTGACCGTAGCCCTTGTGTAACCAGCCATTTCCGTGTAACAGCTATAGCCGTTCTTGACGAAGAATATGCCCAGGTAGACGGGCATGCCCCAGCAGACCAAAATTGTTATACTTTAGGAAGAGTCGGAGAGCATAATGTCGTTATAGCCAGCTTACCAAAAGGCGAGTATGGCTTAGCTCCGGCTACGGATGTCGCAGCAGATATGCTCCGGAGCTTTCCCAGTGTACGGGTTGGTCTCCTCGTCGGCATAGCTGGTGGCGTCCCCAATGAGGAGCAGGATATTCGTCTTGGTGACGTCGTAGTCAGTGCGCCATATGACAGGGAGAGTGGCGTTTTCCAGTACGATTTCGGCAAGATTCGGCAAGGTCAGGAGTTTCACCTTCTGGGTTCTTTCAACGAACCGCCAAGTATTTTTGCGAAGTGCAGTGCTCGAAATGGAAGCAAATCATGAGCTCAAGGCTGAGAGCCGCCGGTATGAAGAAAAAATAAATCGATCCTGCGAGAAAAGGCCATGGTGCGAAGAAAATATGGGTGGCCAGACTCGAGCACTGATAGGCTGTACCGAATCGACTTTGTTCACCCGAGCGACAGAACCAGCTGCGAGGAATGCTGTGGCAATGAACTCACGAGACTGCGACAACGAGAGGAGAGGGACCATGGGGAAGATAACACCCAGATTCACTACGGGCTAATTGCCTCAGCGAATAGCTTAATGAAAGATGCGGTTATCCGAGATAAATTCTCAAGGGAAAAAAATGTCTTATGCTTTGAAATGGAAGCAGCAGTCTTAATGAACCGCTTCCCCTGCCTTGTTATTCGCGGTATTTGCGACTACTCTGATTCTCATAAAAATAAGCAGTGGCAGGGCTATGCGGCAATGGCGGCAGCAGTATATGCAAAGGATCTTCTCTTATGCGTACCTCCACAGACAGTGGTTAATGAGAAGAAGATTCAAGACCTGCTTGATGATAGTTAGTTATACGCATACATTACAAAAGTATTATTTGCTAATGAAGAATAGTATCAAATACGGTCACTAAAACGGCAAAAGATACTGGCATGATTAGATCTGCAGTGGATAATGACAAGAGCGGAAGGATTCTAAAATGGATTACAGCAACTGAATACTTTCCTGATTTTGACTCAAACATTAAAATACGAGCAGGTAACACTGGAGACTGGTTTTTAAAGTCTCCTGAGTTTCAGGAGTGGGTTTCGGGCAATAAGCAGACATTATTTTGTCAGGGGGCGCGGGTAAGTCGGTTCTTACATCAATCATAATTGAAGATATGCTAAAGCGCTCTAGAGAGGAAGGGAATTATCGGAATCGCATCTATATTCTGCATTTTTCAACAAAAAGACCGGCAAATCACGCAAGATGTGCTACCTAGTCTGGTGAAGCAGCTAGCTCGAGCTCGGCCTACTCTGCCAGATAACATCAAGTCCCTTTACGAAACGCATAACAATCAGGCACCAACGCAACCGAATTCTAATGAACTTCTTACTGTCCTCAAGGGTTTAGTTGGAATATATTCAAAAGTGTTTATTCTTATCGATGCACTTGATGAGTGCCAAGCGGACGAGGGTGAAAGTCGAAAATCCTTTCTAGATCAGCTGTTTAAGCTTCAGAACGCTACCTGCACAAATATACTTGCAACTTCACGACATAATAGTGCAATACAGGAGAAGTTTGGTGGAAGAAGCAAGATTTTGGAGTTCCGAGCCCACGACGACGATGTTGAGTTGTACCTCGAGGGACAAATGCCGTGCATTGCTTTTTTTCGATTTTGTTAAAAGTGAAAGCTTATGTGCCGCGGCGAGTCTAGCTGTATTTCACGGAAACCACGTGGGTTGGGAGTGTCTGGACATGGCTGGCATTCACTTGGCAGCATATTTCGGGCTTGCGGATTTACTGGCTGAGTTGCTAGACAGCGGCCACAACGTGGACGCGGTTTGTACCAGCCCTATGCCATGGGGGGCTGGTGCGTGAACGCCTTTAATGTTGGCCGCAAGAAAGGGGCATGAAGAGGTTGTTAGGCTGCTATTACGACGAGGCGCCGACACTGGAGTACGCTACGATGGGCTGAGGCCCTTGTGCCATGCGATAAAAAACGGACATGAGGCCGTCGCTAAATTACTGATTGAGAATAGCGACGGTCCTTATGGGCTTCAGGATAGCGATGACCCTTGGGAGCGTAAGAATTACGTCCCTAACAGTCTTGAGCACATTAACAACACCAAGGGGCTTGATAGTGACGACTCTAATTGGCTTGGTCGTCTTTTATTTGATTGGGAACGACACGAGATTGACAGGATACCGCTGCTGTGCTGTATCAATTATGGACATGAGGGCATCTACAAGCTCCTGGTCGAAAAAGGCGTGAATCCAGAGCTGTACGGACTGCCACATTCCCCAATTGAAATGGGCACATGGTGGCGTCCAACAAATCTATTCACAGCTGCTGAACAGGGGAATTTGGATGCTGTTTCCAATCTCATCGTCAAAGGTGCCAATCTGGAGTGCGCTGTCTACACTCGCAGTACCAGATATGGTAATTTACAATGGCAGACACCGCTTTCACGCGCCGCGGAACAAGGCCACATGGCCGTTGTGACGCGACTTCTCGAAATGGGCGCCAACTTGGAGGGAGGAGGCGCTCCAAACCCGGAATTTCCAGCGCCAACACCGTTATGGTGTGCAGCGAAAGAAGGACAGCAGGATATGTTCGAGCTGCTGGTTCAGAAGGGCGCCAAGCTGCAGAGCGTCGTTGGACGGCAGCCGTACAGCTACTACTTGATAAAGGTGTTGGCCTTGACTCTAGGGATACAAGTGATCGAACACCCTTGCTTCATGCAGTGGCCGGCGGTCATGTCGCAGTCGTCAGGCTGCTATTACAGAAGAATGCCAACGTTGCCGTGGCGGACACGAATCTTGGCAATACACCACTACATGATGCCCTTCGACGCGGTTGCGTTAGTATCATTGAGCTTTTGCTTGGCCAAGGCGCATGTCTAGAAGCCAAGAATCATAGAGGCCAGACACCACTACACCTTGTCTCTATGACGAAGAATGTTAATACCGCCGAGCTTTTACTCAGTGAAGGCGCTTGTCTAGAGGCAAGAGATCATAGAGGCCAGACACCACTACACCTTGCCTCTATGACGAAGAATGTCCATACCGTCGAGCTTTTACTCAATAAAGGGGCATGTCTAGACGCAAAAGACGACAAAGAAATGACCCCATTGTCAATCGCCATAAAATATATTGACAACGAAGAGATAGTTTCGCTTTTTGCCGAAACGCCATGGGGGTAAGCAGAGAGACGCGGGTTGGGAGCTTTTACCGACATTTTTACGTCGAGTTTAAAGCATGGGTGACATTTGAGCTTTTGCAACTACATCTCTCCTGTGTAGATATTTTTTTCCTTTCTTATGCGGGACCGAACGAGATCAAGTTTGAAGCTAGCACAACAATCGGCTACAAATGAGGAGAAGTCACATTGTCAAGTGCCAGGTGTTGTCAACCTTCAGCATGAGATCTCCGTCCCATAGACGTTTCAAGCAATATGAAGCATGCTATTCACGTTATAATTGCAAAATTTAGACTCCGCAAAGTTGAGGACAACCATGCCAGGACAAACGTCTTGGACATGGAAAGCGAATCCTACGGGCAGCAAGACAAGAAGCGTCAACGTGCAATGACATGGAGAGAAATAACAACATGCACTACCAGAGGTCTCTGCACTTTTGGGTTCCAGGCAAAGAATCCTATGGCATTGCAACGGCTAGACAATATGAGATTGTACAGAGTCATTGCCCATTAGCTCCCCCCATGCAACCAAGTTGAACAAATTGCACATCAATCGAGGATCATGACATTCATGTCCCGGTTAGCCAACTCGCCTCTTGAAACCCATCAACTGATATCAATCATTCTGCCGGCCCCCGAACAGGCGCCACCCACACGGCCGTGGCGGCTCGAACCGTACCATTGAATTTCTCCCTGTCAGGCGCAGGTATTTCAAGAGTCGCCTCACTCACCTCCCGGATACGGGCCCCGTCAAAGCCAAGGATATAGACCTTGCCAGCGGCATCATCCGTCATGGCCAGGTATTGAACATTGGGAGAAGCTCCAGCCACCCACGGCGCGGGCTCAATCGCGTTGGCTATGCCTCCGCTCGTCGGAGTCTCCCAGCGGTCAATAGCCTCCGTACGCACCAAGTGGCCTTTGCTATCCAATTCAAAAGCCGACACGTAACCTTTGAGGCTGGCATTATGGGCCCTGGTGGACGTAAACAAGTATTTAGGGATGTGGCCCGGCGGTCCGGTCGAGAACCGGACCTCATCCGCCCAGTAGTCGGATATATTCTTGCCTGGCGGCAAAACACTCGCGCCCTGGAGGTGCTCCAGGTCCTCTACAGTTCCGTCACGGTGCTTGCTCACTCGGAACACATCCACCATGTTTGCGTGCTCCTGGATGACGTACAAGATGTTTCCGTTTGGATGGGGCCAGGTGTGTCGCGGTCCGTCGTCCTCCCTCGTCACCCTGTTCTTCTGCTGGTCTGTGAGAGCGGCAGACGATCCATTGGCTTCTTCGGAAACGGAAAACGTCCACACGGCATTCGATCCAATGTCTCCGACGTACAGCGTGTGGCCGTCGGGGCTCAGATCGACGCCGTGCGCTCCGAAACGAAGACCAGCGCCGCCACTCCCGCCGGGCTCGGAGCCATTCGTGCCGCCGCCGGTAGTAAATTCAAGCTGTTGTGCTAGGTCGCCCAGGGCGCCGTCGCCGTCTACATGGAATGCCTCGCCAGTGGCGCCGCCAACACTGTACAGGTACGAGTCGGAAGCGACGACGTAACCGGGCGGGTTGGCTACCGGCTTGGTGTCCAACAGCTCGAGGGTATGGAACGGACCATCGCGTTGGCTTCTGTAGGCTGCCACGCTGGAGGGATCCCACGCTGCTGCGTACAGAGTCTTTTGGTTTGGCGCAAAGGAAAGCCATGCGTGAGGACCGGTCGCATGACTGACGTGCGTGACGTTGAGATGGGCAAGGCGGGCGTCGAAGGAGAGGGTGTATATATACGGGAAGTTGAATGTGCCCACAAACAGCTCCATGTTTGGATAGGTTTTGTGACTTTGCGGTTGAGTTTTTCATTTGCTCCGAGTACATTTTGTCTAGGCCGTGGCTTGGAATTAAATAGCTAGGCAGACATCAACAGGAGGCCTCATAGGTGCCTTTCATCGCTGTGGTGGTTGTTCTGGGTACTTCTGCCTTGGCTATCGATTCAATGCCATTGGCGATTTCCGTCCCCGTGCGTTTTCCCGAGGCGGTTGGATGTAACCCTTAAACTTTCTGAACTGGGCATAATTTACATGCCCTGTTTTCTTGCCACTGACGACGAATGCTTCAGCCGTTGGTACGAGGCCTTGGATTGAGGGTAGTACCAGAAACAGAACAAGCTAGGTCCAGAGTCATGCCGACGGAAATAAAAAAAGGTAAAACGTCTCATGACCGCCAGGTAATGTTTACTCAAACTACATACGCCACGAGGGGTTTTCTGCGTCGCGCTCTACGAGTAAGCGCAGCGGTAGTGGGCACAAGGTTTCAGAGCCTTTATGCCGAGGCTACCGGCTGAAAGCGCGAATTCATTATCCTGCATTATAGTCATACCAAGTTGTAGTCCGTGCCCCGGCATTGATCAATCAAGTTATTTGGTTCGGCATGACCCGAACCATCCATTGGACCTCGAGCCGGACTCGGTCCGAGTGGGCGACCAGTCAAACGCGGACAGCGTATCAACTTGATGCTTCGGCCATAGCACGGCAATCGACTGGCTCTTCGGGACGAGTCGCCGATTGGCACGATTAGCCTGGCGCCAACTAGTAATTAGGTCGAGATGGCGCCATTACAGGTCGTGCTTTTGCAACGTCGGAACGAAATACCCTGCGAATTTCCGAAATCTAAACGGCGCTTATTTACGATTAGTCTTTTATTAAGCTTGCTATTCATAAGATACACAGATTCATATACTACCCTCCCGGGTATTAGGAGGGGGCAAAAAGTATGTCACTAGACTGAATACCAGGTATTACGGTCTATACCGTAATATAACGAATATTCGTATACGGCGGAGTGACTTGTATAACCTGGCCAATTTGCGGCCTCCATACAGCCTAACACGGGGCCATTACTGGTATATAAATTGAGTAGACAAATGGTTGAATCTATTAATATAGATGCAGGATCTGTCGTGAGTCTTATGAGAGCAATGAGCGGAAATATAGGCAGGGAGAGCAAGTGTATTCTGATGGTGAATGTTGAATCCTACAATCTAGGTGTTGGTTTTGACATTTTACATGTACATGTGTTCGGTGGAACTTCTCAAGTTGGCACTTTTACACATACCCCGGGCAATCCCCACGAACTTGGACGCGAGTCACACCTATACTAAATATGCGCAGCCCAATTATACAGCCTTTGCTTATTTGCTGTTTCCGAAGCCCCCTCTAATGGATCACGTGTTGTAATATTGTCGAGAGACCATGCAACGGCCTCATGAGCCATCTCCGCGCTGGCCATGTGGGAAGAGAAAGCTTGGGCGACCGCTACTTTTTCAGCGTCAGACACACAGGCCATAAGGTACCGATGACGATCAGGAACCGGCGAGAGATGCAAACATTGGTCAATCATGGTCGACACAGGCTTGGCCCCTATGGGAATCCACCAGATTCGAGGCAACTTGTCACAGGCCGTTTGTGAGCGATGGCCAGGCTTGTCGAGAAGTGAAGCAGCTTCCGGCAATACCAAGGCCTCAATCACATTCCGTGTCGCTTGAATCGCGGCTGCTGTTATAAATGCCATGCCCGCAGCTCGGCCAACTCGCTGTTGGTCCTTTGGGAGGTGGAAGAGGACACCAGTTGAGCGGCCAGTTCCATACTCGTCATGGTGCTCTATAAACCTTGCCAATTCCTTTCGTGCCATCTGGAGAGCCTGATATAGATTGTCTATTTCCTTCTGGGCGTCATATCCTGCCCCGAGATAGGTTCCTAAGTTTGTCTCATGCGATATCTTGATCTCCAGCTTCTTGCCCGGTTCCGGTGGCTCCAGTGAAGCCATCTTCGGATAGGCCGCTTAATTCCGTCGAGCGAGCCTGGGGCGAATGATACGACGTCGATGGGGTCTAACGTGTCGCAAGTATAGCAACAATTTGTCCCGATGCTAGACGACTAAGATCTCTCCATCATATACGAACAGCGCGTGCGTCCACTCGTCAGATTTATCCGTCGCAGGTTGATGTCTCTTTGATACGGTGAACGACGGCGCTCCGCGCATGCGAGATTCCTAGTTGGTGTTTTGGATCTCCTTGATATTGTAGAAATGCAACAGGTGCTCAAGTAAGACAAAGCAGATCAACTCACACCAGATGACTGGTTTCCTGTTCCCCGATCTCATTCACGTCAGGGCTTGCAGCCCATGAAAGAATGCAAGCGAGGCCTGACGGACTTGTTCAATGCCTACACATGTGCGGAATCACGGCTCCGTTCTGTGGCTCGACTAGGGGATGCACGAGCTGCAAGTGACGCACCAGGACACAGAGAGCGTATTCACCATGGAATACCTCACGATGCGGTTCTCTCTCCTCAGCACACCCGTCTTTATAGCTTGTGGTGGCATCCGACGCAGGGGAACCCAACCTGCTCAAGACATGGAAAGGATTCAACTTTGGTCCCGCGGTGGGAAGTTGCACGTACCGGAAGGGTGTTTTGCTCGTGACGCGTTGCCAATCCTGAGATGCACTGAAGGAATGCAACTTTATTTTCGGTTATGGAAGGAGCCACCGTCTAGTCACCGTCCAAGCCTCCAAGGTAATGACCCAATCCATCAATAAATCTTGCTCAGCCACCAAGTCTACATGTGCAGATAGATGCCCTCTGATACACAGTAAGAGATCCATAGTGCACTCTTGAATCTTTCACACGGCCAAGGCATCGGCGTCCAATACTTGGCCATGGTAGGGCAGCCATCTTTCGACGCCCAAAAAATACACTCTCTGGATGGCCCGGCGCATCCAGCTCGGGTCTCGTACCAAAATCATCCCCCTTGCGCTGCTTCCCTGGCCAATCGACCATCCTCACCGTCGGCGCCTTCGCGGAAATCGGGTGACCACTTGTGCCACGAGCCTTGATGTCGGGAATCATGGGGTGATTTCCAAATAAGGCGGTCGGTCATGCCTTTCCCTTTTTTTGATGATAAACTGATGACATTTTTACGTAGTTCGATTGCCACCCAAGCCATGGGGATGCTGCTCACCAACAACCATTGGAGCCATGGTGCGTAACAAAACTTTATTCGACAAATATACAGAACTCAACTCTAAAATCCAACCAGCAATATATTGCGCCACGCTGAAACCCCTCATTTAAGAAGGCTGATGATGGCTGATGGCGGCGTCGGTGCGCGATAGGTATATATATGCGCACTTTTCTCTCCTCCTGCTTCTCTGGACTCTGATCGCTAGGTAAAATTCCGCATCCTGTCTCACACTCATCGGCAGAATACGTCCTTCGTCATGAATTACGACCAGCTATCTACCCCATCAAAGTGTCTAGCCGACTTCAATCTGGTTCCCGTAAGCCCAACTGACCAATAATTCGTATCTAGCTGTATGTTAACGCGGGTGGCAGATTGGGACCGGAGAGGCCTCTATTTCCGGGGAACTTGAAGAGGTAGTGCGACTTCTCCGACACTTTGGGGTCAAGTATACAATGCAGACAACGGGAACAGTACTTGGTAAGATCGACCTGCCTCGAGTCTCCCGGTGGTTTCCGAGAGAAGGCTTTTCCAAACTGTCTCAGCACTAATTGGTATTACCGCAGAGGGTACTTGGGATGAAGTCATGAATGCGATTGGCAAGGCCCATGCTGCTGTACACCAACGCGGTGTGGCAAAAGTTCAGTCAGAAATCAGGATAGGAACAAGGTGAGAGTGACCTTGGTCAGGGTGTACTTTACGCGAAATGGCAGTTTTATCTAATCTTCAAACGCATAGAACCGATAAAGCAGAAGGAGAACACGCCGCCGTCGGCAAACCAGAGTAATTGCGAAGTTCTGGGGGGCTAAAATAACTGCGCAGGGAGAGGGGGACCTGGAGAGGTAGGAAGTTGTGTAAGAGCCGCAGATCAGCTTAGTGAGGGTTAGCAACGTCATTTTTGTTCACATAGGCAACGCCTAGGAGGGAGACGTGTGAATAGTACGCTCGTCTTTCCTGCTGTTATGTACGGGAGCAGGCAGCAACGCAGCGTTCTTACGGCTCCCAACAAGAATGCTATCACTTGATGTATCCAAATTGTAAATTTGCTATCCACATGTCATCACAGTTCACCAATCGTTAAAAGTAGCATGCTAACTTTCATACCAAGGTTCAGAAATACTTGGTTGAGTCTTGAGATCCAATTAATCAAGCGACAAGGCTGCGAAGTTGACGTCAGGATGACGGACGAAGCTGGTGCGCCGATTTTGGTCCAACGCCATATAAAGCTTCTAGAAGGGGCAAAATAACCCATTTATTTGGAAAAACTGGACATGACGGCCCAAATATTGAATGACCTTGGCGACCCTGTGCATCGTGAAGGCGGCGGACGACCCGGTGCTTCCTCATACCGCAGAGCACCGGCATCCTGGCCGTTGTGCTCAACCAACTGCCCTACCAATTCACGGGCTGCAAACAATCTCGGTCGTATTCTGGTTCGTCACCATTGTGCTTCTGGTTGCCATGCTTGCCGTCTTTTTCCTGCGGCTGCTCGCGTCAACCCGGGTCGTCGCCAGGTCCATCGCCACCGACACGACCGAGGCGGCCTGCACGGCCAGCATCAGCATCAGCATAGCATTCATGTCCTGCCTCCAGATGCTCTCGTTGGTGGTGATGCCCTCATGGGGCGGCAAGGGCTGGAGCCTCGCAGTCTACATCCTGCGGTGGATGAACTGCGCCCTGACGGTGCTGGCCTGCATTGGCCTCCTAGACATGTTTGTCATGTCGATTCGAAGCGAAGGCGGGCTGGCGGGAAGCCTGACCGGTGGTGCAACTCCCTCTCATCACGGCGCTGACGTCGGCCGCCGGCGCAGGGACGCTCTGCCTGTCCGCCGTGCTGAGCGCCGCGCAGAAAGTGCCGATGATGTTCGTGGCACACATCGAGATTGGACTGGCGTTGCCAACGGCCCTGGCGTTCGATGCGCTGTATCTGGCCAGGTTGCTCCAGCCGTGGGAGGAACCCGCGGGCTCGCATCACGAGTATCCCCCGGAGCAGACGTACTCGCACATGGTGCTGTGCGGGCCCTGGGGACAGAGTAGTTTTGCGCTGCAGACGCTTGGAAAGGCCGTCTTCCAGCTAAAGGGCGGTGATTGGTGTCATGCAAAAAATGGGCGTGGCCACGCCACCAGAAGCATTTTGTGTGTTATACCCCCATGTGCCCCTTGTATCCCTTGCGACAGTTGGCCCATTCTCGTTGGACTCGTGAACTGGGGCCAGGGCACATTTTGGTGGGCGTTTGCCATTGTTGGCATTATGAGGTCTGTAGTTGCAAGGCTGAGACGGAAGCATTCTATTGCTTTCCATTTGTCTCTGTGGGCGATGGTGTTTCCGTGGGTAAGTCGGCGACGCTGTTGACATGACAGTCAAGATGTTGCCATCCAACTTGGCAGGAGCTTGCCGCCTGCTGCGTTCAACATCTGGTCGGCGGTGCTGATATGGGTTCTGTGTTCGCCATGTTCCGGTCTCAGTCTATACCATGTATGTGCTCGGAGGGCCACGCGGCGTTGAGACCTCAAAATGCTCAATTGGCGTTGCCCATGTCCCTGGTAAAGCTCTACTGTCCCCGATGCTGAATGGCCAAGATCTCCCCATGATGCAATACGTTGAAAAAAGACAGCATAACATTCGGGATGATTTGCTTGGCGTCGATCCGTCCGATACACAAACCCAGCTCAACGTCACCGAGATAGTTGCCCGCCAGATGGTAAGTATCAGTGGACAGGTTGCGTTTGCCGATCTGTGACGAGCTTCAAATGGATAAAGATGGTCGCGGCTCGGTGGGCATGGCCGTAGTAATGCATCGAGACCAAGTCGCCAGCTTGGGCTCCTTGCCGAATGCACCTCGAGTCATTCATAGTGTCGTGGTATGTCAGCTGACGAGCGCCATGCCCTTCAGCATTCGTTTCTTTTCAGGGCTGTGTAACCAGCTTTTTTGATAGTGTGTCGCTAGGACCAAGCGTTCAAGACGGCCATGCCACAGGTCTCTAGATGTTCTGTCCATTCTATCTCGGTATATTATTTCTCTTCCATTGACAAGGCGTCTCCACCAGCAGTAAACCCAAGTTCCGAAAGAATCACGAGTGCGCCATTTTCACTATCAGCCTTCCAAAGTCATCAATATGCAGCTGCAGATTCCAACGGATCTGTTTGGTGCCCGCAGTCATAGGGAATGCATCCCGACTCATGACACATACCACAGAGTCTAGTGATAGCACGCAAGTATATGTATCATGTGTTTCAGTATACTGTGGTCATCAATAAGTAACTGACATGTCGAGTTGACAGTGTTTCATCCACGGCCCGTCTTTTCATGCATGTCTTGGTGATTCGGAAAGTTAACTGGCAGTCCTAAACCTAGGTTGATGTCGCTCGAGTCACGACATGGTCAGAATGGCGGGAACAGACACTCAGCCCGAGCTAGAGATGGTGCCATCCAGTGGCCCTGGAATGAGTCGTCTTCGTACCATACGTAGCCTGGTGCAGTGCCTATGCTGTGACGATATTCGGATGCCAAAGATGCAAGGCAGGAAGCAACCATATCGACTATATATACCGGTCTTCGAATCCCCCCTTTTTCAATTCATCCTCAAGACCACAAAAACCTCCGTGCTGACAACACCATGACCTACGCCATCACCGGCATTCCCCTGGACTCGGGGCCCATCCCGGTCCGCAAAGACATCGATGACTGGTACAGAGAACAGACCAGTCAAGGTGGAAACCGCATCCAGCTTACTCTGTTCGTGGAGGCGTTGACTGCCATGCAGAAGCGCCACATAGACCATAATTTATCTTATTTCCGTCTGGCCGGAATTCATTCTGCGCCCTGGGCTAAGTGGGACGGCAAGGCCCAACCCTCGCCAGAGACTGGCAGGATACGGGGATACTGTGTCCATAACCACTACACCTTTCCGACCTGGCACCGGGTGTACATGCTGTTGTTCGAGGTGAGGCAGCTCTTTGGTCCATCCGTGATCCATGTATATCCAGCAGACACTGAACCTCGTTGGTAGCAAGTCGTGTACGAAGCAATGATCGACTTCATCAAAACAACCGACAAGGTCCCGAACGCCGTCAAGGCTAAATGGACGGCAGAGGCAAAGCAATGGCGTCTGCCTTACTGGGACTTTGCCCGGTTCGCCATACACCAAGGCAAAGTACTGGACGAACTGCGGCTCCCCATTTTGGCGACAATTCCAGAAGTGAGAGTCATCACCATGATTGATCCGAAAACGGGGCAAAACAGTCTCAAGAATATACCGAACCCAATGTACTGCTTCAAAACTGCCCCGCCCATGGGCGAGTTGACGGGTGAGTGCAAAATCGCCAGCGAATCAATGGAAAACGGAGGATCCCTTCCTGTATGTTGCCATTCTGCCCCAAGACTACACAGCACCTGCTGACGTACGATGCGTCCAGTGGGACAAGTGTGCATCGACGACAAAGTACGGCCTCCTAGACGGCTTCCATGCAGACGTCTGGGTCGACGGAGGACAAAACTGGCTCCGATCCAACTTGGCTCTAAACGAGCATCCGTGGTATCAAGACATGAAGGAGTGGGACTCGGTTCCGACGCTTCAGGACATGACCTTTCGCCTGTTGACGTGCGACTTGAACAGCTGGGGCAGCTTTTCGTCGACCCGGTTCTACGACAAGGAATCCCAGCCCAAGGATTGGCTTTCCCTCGAAGCGGTGCACAACAACATCCATGTGAGTTGCACAGATGGCAGAACCCTTCCCGAAGAGATGTCAGTTGGTCTAACATTGCGGAGAATTGGGTGGGAGGCTGGCAATTCAGCCGCCCTAACAAGAATAGTAGGAAACTCTGGGGAGCCGGCCACATGGGAAGCGTCTTCATGGCTGCTTTTGACCCGCTGTTCTGGGCATACCATTGGTAAGTCGTCTGTCCGGTTGCTCATCTACGCTCGAAATTCGTCGTTGTTTCTGACGCAGGCCGTTAGCAACATCGACCGGTTGACAGCCATCTGGCAGAAGCTAAATCCGGGCAAGTGGTTTGATGACCCAAAAAGCCAGTCACAAAGGAACAACTATCTGTCCCCGTTTCATAAAGACACTCGGGGCACATTGTACAGGTCTGACGATGTGCAGGACTGCCGCGTCTTGCACTATGAATACGACATCACCAGGTCGGACCCAAGCGTGATTAAGCAGAAGATTCAAGAGCTGTACGGAAACAAAACTATGCATATTTATAAGCAGATTTCTCAACGCCACCAGGGCGTACTTGGCGACTACATCGTCACCGTTCTATACGACAGGTATGTTCTTCCGCTGCTGCAGGGCTCGAGTTTGGCTCATGGCTGATCACCGTCCAGATATGCCCTTGCGGGCCGACCTTTCGTCATCAACATCTTCTTTGGCGCGGTGGATGGCAGGGACTTTTACGGCCCAGAGTCGCGGAACTTTGTGGGCAGTGTCTTCAACTTTAGCGGTCCGCTGGATGTGAGCGGCTGTGGCAAATGCCGGGAGCAGCGGGAGCAGGGCGTCATGTCCGTGTCGCAGATCCCGGCTACTCTGTCCGTCCACTGGTACATGACGACGTACAGCACTGTCCCCAGGCCGTCTTACGTTGTGGTGGACTCTGTCGGCAAGGTGAGTGCCGGATTGTCGTAGTCGATGGTGTCGGGGCTCCCCTGTTTCTGACCGTTGGACTTAGTCTGTGAATATGAATGTCAAAGTCGCGCTTCACCACTCGAACGACTTGTATTTTGAACCTTATCGCTATTACGACGGCGGCGACGAGTACAGTTGGGTGGCTGACGGGCACCGGGCGCATGTCGAATTTTGATTTCCAAGGCCTTCTTATGGCTGCGTTTTGCTTGTCGTGTGCTGTACTGCTCAAGTTGAAGTCGCTTGTTAAAGGCAGCGGGGGCAGGAATCCTGGGCAAATGTTTCCTTTGTCTACATTCACTCTTTTATATAGGGAATCAAGGGTCTTTATATTGTCTAGCTGTGCCTGAGTAATAATATTCGTGACGGCGGTAAAGTACCATTGTGTTGGCAAGGTACTTGACGTTGGACAAAGATATATACATGTCGAATAGCGCTAGGACTTGTTCCGTTGGAAAGCTGTATACATTACACAAAGTAAACCCCTTAAGCTAGCGAACTTTGGTATCTTGCACCAGCCAGCGGAAGTCTGCGCACCCATTAAGTAATCACAATTGACTTTATAGATGGTTTAATAACGGAAAAGCTGGCTGTTGAATTTGACATGTGTTGCGGACAACCGTGTGATAATCGGCCCAGGATGAGAACAAAAGGACTGTGTCGCTACTTCATTATCTGTCGACGCTGTGAATTCTTGCATGCATCCCTTTGCACCCTTCTTGAATAGTACAAAACCTCCCTAGTCCTACAATGAATGCGAATCTGTCCGACTCGAGGTCCCAGGCGCTACACAGATTAAAGCGTCAGCTCCGCAATCTGTGTGAGGAAGCAAATTCCTGATGCCAGGATTTTGATGGCATGTTCTTCTACTAAGACTATACAGTGGATGGTGGAATATATTCACGTATCAGGAAGTACACACCAAGATACTGTAGTACATTATAGCATGAAGCACGATGACTAGGAGCCAGATCCCGTTCAACACGCTTTGCCTCTGACTGTAATTATTATATGTATACTAAAGAGCTTAGTTGACGATATGTAAAGGGGCAACCGTTGTTGGGAGAAAAGTAAAACAGCAGCTGGTGCCGGCACACGATGATTCCATGTTAATATTGTTGTTGTAGCGGCTGTAAATACCCAGTGATGCGTCATTGTGATTCCCACCGGTTGTTACCCAAAATACGTGTGAGGGTGACAACAAGAATGTAGATGCAGCCGATGCCAGAACAGCTCCGATTAGTCGTCGTACTGCTCCGGGTCCTCCGCCGAATCGTGGTCTGAATATTCCTCCGAATCTCCGTAAACCGTCTATCCTTTCTTCTGCGCAAAATAACCGCTTCCACCGCTACGTGGACTCGGCGAGCCGCCCGGCCTCGTCGTCGGTCAGCTTCAACGGCGACTCGAGACCGTGGTCCGCGATCCAGGACTCCACCACCCTCGTGTCGGCGGCTCCTAAAATGAGTGGCAAGGGCGATTATCATGGACTTTCGCATGTAGTTGCGCGGTGTCGGGAACGGGCGCCGGGTATAGTACCGGGCCTAGACATGCTGCCGTTCGGCTCGTTTGAGGTCTTTTGATGCGGACGAGCGCCATCATTTCTCCACGCGCCGAGGATACGGCACCGAGCCGAATCCCAACTTTGGCCGCGGTCGATGCCTTTGGCATTGTAACAGGCCAAAGCGCCGGCACGCCAAGTATTAGGGCACGGTGGCCCATTATATAATCGTCGTTTACAATACAGGCGTCGTTTTCCTTTCTTGCCCTTCAGATCTCTTGTAAAGGGCAAAAGCAGTCTGTCAGGCCATCATCGCGCGGGGTCTAACAATCGTGTCGTTCCAGGATCGAGCCGCCTCTTCTTCTTTTGGTGTCCCTATAGGTCGTCGCCCGCACGGAAGAAGCGTTGGTTTTTCTCTCGGGCGTTGTTTGGCCGCTTTGGGATGCAATATTCCGGCTTCCCGCTCATAGGTCTGGATGGTGCTTTTCTTTTGCAAAGCTAGCTGGATACCGATAACTTGAGGCTCGCCTCATGATCCGGCTCTGGCTTTTCAAGACCGGGATCCAAATCTGGCTCAACTTGAATGGCTCGATTCCATCTGAACATGTACCAAGAGTCTTGTGCTTTGTTATAGTCAGCCCTTACGGCGACTGGGCTTGGTGTTTGGAGAGCCACAGATGGAAGAGTAATCAGGTCTTTTCGGCAGGTCTTGAACAAAGCGCACGTAAAGCGGTGCCGCCTCGCCTCCTTTTTAAAATTTTATGGAATTCAATATCTTAGATTACAAGCAAGAGAAACAAGCATTAGAGCCAAACCTTGATATCGTATGTTATATTGTAATATACTACACCTAGGGATGATAGTTTATAGCAAGGAAATCAAAAGTCAGCTCGAGCCAATTGAGCGTAGCCCCAGACGCTGGTTATTACCTTCACACCGGCCTTTGGGAGTACTCATCGTCATGCCGAAACTGTAGGCTTATTAGAACAAAGCCTAGACGGTCAAGGTTAAGGTGCTAGATCTTTAGCGGGCAAAAGTCGAGCGGCCACAAGCCGTATTCTTTGAATGCTCTGAGTCTCAGCCCATGGTGAGAAGCTCGAGTAGGCCATTCGAAAGCCCGACTGCTACTACAATTCTACGACTTGCGCGATGGTCTGTTCGTATCGGGTTAGGCTTCGGTACACTCTTCCCGCGGTATAAGTGCACTTTGCGGCATTCATCTGACAATGAGGGCTTGATTGTGCAATATTAGTAGAGCATCACAACCTCAGTAATCGTATTTCTAGGATAACTAATCGCAGTACTTGCTAGGTAATAAGGGCTCGTTCGTATAATATTGCCGTGAGTCTAGCACTCATATCATATCAAGACAAAAAAGGGAACGGGACCCAGCGGTCCCAGTCTCATCACCAGTTTCCTCCTAAATGGGTTACGTATTATTGCCCCTCATTTCGCTCAGTAATGTGACCGAGTGTGACCAAGTCTACTTTCCCCCCTAACAGGTCTCTCAGATGCGGCAGAGTTCCAAAAGGCGTAGCTGAGTCAATGGGGACGCTTCTCCAGCCTAGATGACGCTCAAAGCGGTCTAGAGAACGTACAGTGAGGGGCAAAAAGTATTGACTAGGTCAGTTACCTGGCTATAGCGGTCTACACTATAGTATGCTATAGTATATTGGCGTATACTTGTCGACGGGCAAATATATTCCGTCACATACTATAGCATATTGGCGCTAGTCATGGCGAAATAAAGTGTGCCGGGAACCGTGTGAGAAAACAGCAAAAAGTAATCACTTGAAACTGTTAGTGGGACAAGGTCGTGGACGATAACTTCGTGGCAACTGGAAGCTCAGAGCCACGCAGCTCGGTGAGCGAGGCATCGACATCACATCTCATGGCACAAATCGCATCCTTTAATGGAGGGCTATATTTTCATGGCCTCAACTCTAGCAAATTCCAGGGTATTGAGCTAGTCGCCTTACATCTTTACCTCTGTAACCTTCCGCCCGAATTCCTGATCCCCCTCGTCAGTTCCAAGTAAAGTAGCTCTCACAAGACAAGCACGGTTGCATACTCGGTTATACAAGGCGAACCCGTTGGAAAGGATAGGTAGCTAAATAATTTTACCAACGTAATGTCCCGCATGCACTTCTCTCTCGCCGTGCCGACGGAACATTTTCAACCATCATGGCCTACCTAGGTTTGGGGACTGACAGGTATAAACACCGAGTTGAATGTCTTGGAATTGTTACTGACAATTCCCTTTGAACTCTCAAGATACGGCACAAACCGAAACCCGGGCTGTTTGCCCGCCTCGCTCTCCTCAAGCGGTATTAGTTTAAACAAAATCGCACTCGTGTCTTTGTTCGTGCTGGTAGAAAAGTCAATGTTCCATCCCTGCTGATACATCTTGCTGTACCTGAGCCGCTTGTTGCCTTTATTTTCCCAAGCAGACAAGAATCGCATCGCCCCCAGGGGCTGTGAGTCCTGCTGGAGGGCAAAGTTCCAAGCCTCCGTCTTGTTGTTCTGTATGGGCTTCTTGCCGCTACCGAGGCAAGGAATGTAAAAGCTATTCATGACGAGATAGTAGTCACTCTTGTCCTTTTGCTGCCACCTTTGCCACTGGTTGCCGTTCTGATTGCCGACATTGTCGAGGCTGGGTTTCAGGAAGCGAAGGCCGGGCGGGTAGAGAGTATTGTATAGCGTGTCGGCAATGGTGTTTACACGATCCTCGCATTCTTTGCGAAGACGTTCCGCATCCGTCTCGGCTGTTCAAAAGTAAATCCCAAGAAGATTAGTCGGGCGTAACAAGACGCGGGTGGTGAAGAGGGACGAAGGGCATTGCGGCTTACAGTAGGATGTAAATAGGCTCAGCACGAGACCTTGGCGCAGAAGATAGGCAATCGGTCCCAAGTTGTCGTCCATTTCCTTCACGTAATCAGCCATAAAGTAGTAGAGGTTTCTGTCGTCCTTGAGCTTAGGGAACGCCTGTCCGTGCCAGACGTAGATTGCGCCGGCGCCCTGCCCAGGCAGCCCAATGATAGCATTGTAGATGGAAAAGGTACTGTAGCGGACGCCGAGGTTCTCGTTTCGAAGAGCCGAAAGAAGCTCAGCGTAGGCTGGGTCAGCCTCATCGATGACTCCGCCGTTTAAACTAGACAATATTAGCAGTGTCCATTGTCAACGCGGGATAGAGTAACAGACGTCTTGAAATCATCCATGATCTCATCCATGCGCTTTGACCAGTAAAGAATGCGTCTCATGGCTTCCAGAATCTCAAGCTTGATGGATAAATTCTCAATCTGACGGGCTATTTCATTTTGCCCGGCAATGATGGTGTCGAGGAGTTGAGCGGTTGGTACGGCTTGCTTCCCGGCGATGGCACTCCAGGCCTCTTTCGCTGCGAATTTGGCAACCCATTTGCCAACATTCGCAAGTAGAGACGCCATGTTTGTAGAAGTTAGAAGAGAGTGACTTGAATGTCTGACGGAAATAGCTTTGGCAGTGGAGAGTATGAATGTGACTGTTGGGGATTGCTCTTGTCGTCTTCATGATGAACACCGTGTTTTTATACCCTACCCCACGTCTTATTCATGTCAATATTCAATTTTTCAAGATCTCAGTGAGGTCGGTGAAGCCGATCCCGCTTCACCATCCTTGACAGTCCCGTCCCGATGAGCTTTATGCACACCAAACCCCTTTCCGCAGGAATTTTTGAAGACTGGTACGGACATGCCGCCATTCTTTCAACACATCATGCCTATTAGACCTCTTTCCCATTGATTGGCGACATGGGAAGTGGAGGCGGGGTAGGATCAATGGAAGTCAAGAACTCGCTGAGTAGTCTTCGGCCTCGGGGCTTGAGCTTCAGGTGCGGAGTTGCAGATTGGCTGCAAGGTCAGTGCTGCATGGATTTACGAATCGAGAGTTGGCCGCATGTGTATCGACGGATATTGCGCATATGCTCCACCACCCGCGGGTGTGGACGCCATGGCCGCATCCCGCATAGTATATACAGATGCATGAGTGAGCATTCTATAATAGTTTCCTATAGGAAGTGGCTTTTGTACGCTAAGATGAGGTATCTTACTTGTAGTTCTAAAGCGCAACAGGTAAACATAGGAAATCACCAATAAAGCAAGAGGCTTAAAGTGATAAGAAAAACACAAGTTGTGCGACACCAAGGGGAAATATACATTCATATTTAATTTGAAACTTTGACGAGTTAGTATAACAGAATTGAGATGAGAATTAGAATGTACAGCCTAATAACTAGCTATGAGCTAAAACGACACACTTCCGAAGGAAAATATTAGGGGTATTCGGCCGTGTTTTGGCTCCATGCCTCAACGGCGAAACCCAATACCTAACATGACAGGCACATATGCTACTGGCCTGTCGAGGTAGCTCTTACAACTCACAAGTCTCTCCATCACTCAAATTTCCCTCTGGTTGACCAACACCTACCAAGATATCTCATTCAACTCAACTATACTAATATGCCTTTGATCGATTCTTTCCACTGCCATCCCTTACTCTCCATTGCCTATCGCGGGCCTTCCAGGGTGGTTGGAAGATACGACTTTATTGATTGCGTTTCCATTAGCTGCCGATAGGCTAATAGATGTGTACTGCGGCTCAAGATCCAGCATAACGATGCTTGTTGTAATGAGTCCGTCGTATGATCCCTTCCTCCCGTAATGGCAGCATGGAGAACTTCGCTGTTTCCAACATTGAAGACGTGGCCACTACACCGGTATGGGCTCGCGCTACATCTTAAGAAAAGACAGCAGTGACTGCAATTCTCTATTGTGACCACCATCACGAAAGTCATGCACAATTTCCTGTTCGCGACCTTACAGGCAATTTATGTGAGACTGCTGTCCCATGCATCTCAATCACGCAGCAGCTTGTGAATGCGGCAAAGCCCTCATTATGCCTGGGTGAGTACTTTGACGTTCCATAGGATTGAACAGCCAGGTGGTGCGCGATGTCTTGTTAGTTTCTGGCGAGAAATGTGCGGGTTCGCGCGGCTAGATGAATAAACAAATATCCATACTCGATACAGACCCCGTGTCAGTTGTCATTGACTTATTCGTGTAGTCGTACGAGTATGAAGAGGAAACCGGCCTATTTCTTCGATATCACCTTCCTGAGTCCAGCCAGACTGGTGGTGAGAACTTTTATTCCTGCAACTGTAACATCCTACACACAGCTGAAGGACGTACAGCGTCAATAGTCCGACAGGAATGCAACGGTGAATCAGGTTGTCGTGGCTCATGCCACGTTCTCTCTGTCTTTGCGGCGATAGCTGATGTCGATGACTCACGCTTTCTCATCGTTGAGACAACAATTGTTCCCGTTACTGGCTATTGCGCAACCTCGTGTGGCAATGCGGTGGGATATCTGCCTAGGTAGGTATCCGGTACGCCATACCTCCCGTGGGGATGATGACGAAGCCTACATGGCAGCCAAGCTTGGGAAACGACTGCCACTGTCACTGTGTCCCTTAGTCGACTATTTAGGTGTCATGCCGCAGTCATCTCGTATCTCTGGAGCATTTACTTCGAGGAGGCCCTCACCACATCCCGCCTTTCGCCGAGAAAGAAATATCTACATGTTAAATTGGCCGGTTCCATGTAGAGTCCCATCTCCTTGGTGTTTTGCCTGGGGAAACGAGAGGCCACACAAATTGTGGGCATGCTATAGGGATAAAAATTACATTTCTATTAAAGCTCAGGGAGATGGTTGAACTCAGCGTTTGACTTTGTTCCAGGAGCTCTCACTTGGCTTTTACAGTGGCATTTTTGCAACCCCAATAACCTTGTTAAATCTCGCCGTCCGATTTGTGCATGACCAAGACTTACGAGGCACCGAAGCAAGCACCTTTGGATACCGGGCCTGTCTATGACCGCCCTTGCTTTGACGGACTTGGACAAGACCGAAGAAAGTACTTGATATGAATTGAAACTGGCACGGATTGGATCGCGCTAAGGAGATCCCAGACACCCTGCATTCTTGTGCCGCCAATTGTGTGAGGACGCTCGCTTGCGGCATCCTATCTTCCATGCTGTCTCGGAAAGTAATCCCATCTCTCGCATAAGTCCGCCGGAAAAGGTCGTTAATATCCAGTAGCACCTCAACAGGACAGAGCGCTTTGTGCCAGTGTCCCCATTGCTGAATTGTTTGGAAGGCAACCGGCCGGTCCGAGTTTCTCGTCGTGATGAACTGATAGAGATAGGCCACAGCATCGGAAGCATCGTAGGGACGGCCCGTGCCTTGTGTGATGCGGCTGACCTTTTTGACGAATGAGTAGTTCCAAGGAGCGGCGACAACTTTCAGGCCTGGGGCGCGGAATACAACACAGTTCTGAGTGATGGAGTCTTCTACGAGGCTGTCGATGTTCTCAACTACACCAGGCATTCTGGCGGTTGTATTGTTTAGCCAGTCTTGGCTCATAGGAACGGAACTTCTTTCAACCGCGACTCGTCCGGCCTCTCGGAGGTTGGTGAGATGTGGCTCGGATAACTGACGACAAAAGAATCCACGTCGTGAGTGGTTTTGCGCGACCGGAGTAGAATTGTGTTCACTGCGCCGCCAACTGCAACTAGCACCATATTTTCACGATAATGCAAAAATTCCGCCACACTTCCCAATGCTGCCAGAAGAACCTGGTCCGTCACTTCATGTTGAGCATATTCCCTTCTCAATCCATGCTCGTCCCGCTCTGGAGCAGGGACTTGGCCTGGCGGTGTTACTGGTCCACTAATGCTCATGCTCTGCAAAGGAATATCTTGCCTCTTAGTTCCACCGCCTCTCTGTTGTCTTTGCCGTCGTGGAACCGGTCCGGGATCATCATCCCTTGCTGGTCCGGAACACATGAAGTGACGAAGAATACTACGTCAGCGATAAAGGAAAAAAAAATTCAGCCTCTTGGCGTAGAAAGAATTTACTACCCGTCTTGGATATGAAACATATTATGCTCTTCTTTAGCAGTAAGAGAATAGGAGCTCGTTCGACTTTTGTAGTCGGGAGGACCAACGGTAAGCGCCATGGAGCAGTTCACGGATTCAAAACTACCCGGGCCGCGGCACAATTGACCAGCGCCAAATTTTTCTGAGCATCAGCCATCAGCCAAGCATTCTGTTTTTGACTGGAAAAGAAGAGATGAGAAGGAGTTTCAGAATCCATCCAACCTTCCTCATTGAGGTTTGAGAGGTTTGAAATATGATTATTCCAGTAGCTTGAAAATGCAGGGCTAATCGAGGCTGTTGCAGCTACGAAATCCAGGGTTGGTCGAAGCCCTTTCGCATCAGGCAGGTCGATTTGACGAGCTTCCGCTAGCACCTTCTGCCAGCTTGTGATCCAAGCCTCGATTTTCGTACGATTAGAGCTGCATTTTCAAGCTACTGGAATAATCATATTTCAAACCTCTCAAACCTCAATGAGGAAGGTTGGATGGACAAGGTCCCAGACGGCTTTCGGATTAGTGACCTGTATGAACAGCATTACCGGCGTCAAAAAGCCACGGAAGGCAAGGGCGGTTTTTCGTCCTCCACCTTCCAAGGAAGCCCATCATCATCAGAGACCCCAAATTCATCGCAGGCACCTAGCCAACCTAAAAACAGTCAGCAAATACGGTCAAAAACACTACTATCGTCAGTGTCTGTACCTCAACGAGCCTCTCAGAGACCCAACATGGAAGCCCGACGCCGAAATTGAAGCTATCTAGGTATGGAAAACAGGCCCTTATTTATAGATATCAAGGTCGTCTAACAGGTCACCTAGAAAGTCATCAATTTGAGGGGTTCTACGGTATCCAGCTATTGAAGGTCCGGCTTCAATGGGGTGGTGGCGCGAGCCTTCTTTTGAGGCTTTTCGTACAATCGGAAAGCAGCTATTTGAGGCGTTTTGGGGCTTATCGGGGTCCCCGATGAATAGCAGCCTTTTTCCATTGAAAGGGGCCTTTGGCGTTGACACACCCCCGCAGATTGGGTTGATAGCTAGCTGTTGAAGCTGTTGTTGAAGCTGTTGATAGCTATCAGGGCAAGCTGGATTAGTTGATTTGGGCCCTTTCGATGATGCTGACGATGTTAACGAGCCCTAGTTGCTTGACGAAGCGGTCAAATCGTTGGCCTGTCAGGATCTTCGTCAATCCACCAGCTAGATTATCAGCGCTTTGGACGAATTTGATGTCAAAGGTCCCTTGTTGATAGGCTTGTCAAATCCAGCTATTGTGAATATCAACATGACGAAGGGCGGTCTTGAGCCTTGGAAGATTGCTGTTGATGAGCCGGATCGTCTGTAAATTATCACATTGTATCGTGGGCTTTGGATGATCTAGCTGAAGGTCTAGCTGTTGGAAAAGCCTAGATATTGCGATAGTCTCTTTAGCTGTGTGTGTAAAAGCTAATAATTCGGCTTCGGTAGACGATGTTGTGACTGTATCTTGCTTGCTAGCTGTCCAACTGATAGGTCCATTGAATAGTCGAATTATTGAGCCTTGTGACGACTTTCGGGTCCGTTGGTCGTCTGCAAAGGCTGTTGGTTCCAAATTCTTTACGTGTATGCCCTCTGGTTGCGAAGCGCCAGTTAAGCGCCAGTTAAGCGCCGCTGGACCCACCCAGCCAACCAGCCGAGAGCCAGCAGCTCATATTTGGGAAACAAGCAGCTCTCGCGTGCAGGGTCGTGTTTCAAACGTCTCTGGCAACAATGCTATGGCAGCCTCCATTACGCAGGCCCGCGCGATAAGCAGGCCATTTGTTGGCTCTGCCGAGAAGCAAAGCCTGACAGAACGGCTCGCAACTAGCCTGCATCATGCCATCCGGCGGCTTGATGCAGAAAATCGCGGCGGGGCGTCTTCGCCTACTGTCGACCATCCCGTTACCGTGGTATGCATCTCCGACACTCACAACTCGTTTCCCTCATCTCTCCCTCCAGGCGACATCCTCCTCCATGCTGGAGACTTGTCGCGCTTCGGCACGTTCGCAGAGATACAGGCGCAGATCTCGTGGCTTGCCGCACAACCACACTCACACAAGGTCATCATTGCCGGAACCCACGACCTGCTCCTCGACCCAGCCTTCGTTGCCACCCACCCCGACCGAGAGCTGGACCGTTGGCCCGGCCAGCGCAGAAGCGACTTAGCATGGGGGGACGTACACTATCTTGACTGTGCATCAGTGGACCTTGTCATTGAGGGGAAAGGCCGGTCAATCCGTGTGCTCGGCAGCCCGTGGACTCCCCGCTGTGGAAGCTGGGCATTCCAATACGACCAAAATAGAAATGACGAAGATACATGTTATCCATTGGGCACGTCACCAAACGATGTCGATGTCATGTTGGTGCATGGACCGCCTCAGGGCTATCTGGACGATGGCGGTAAAGGATGTGAAAGGCTGCTCACTCAAGTCTGGAGGGCAAGACCCAAACTTGTAGTATGTGGCCACATACACACTGGAAGAGGGGAGGGGCGGCTTAACTTCGATCTGGCTGACAACTTGTACAAGAATGTGATGCTTGGGAAGAGGCGGTGGCTATCTGTACTGTGCTTAGCTGTGTGCCACCTCTGGCACATGGTAATTAGTTTCTTTGGTGTTGCATCGAATCGAGGTGAGGGACGACAAACGCACCTAGTCAATGCTGCTATAGTACGAGGCGGCTGGGATTCTGGTCTCGCAGAACCTATCGTTGTATTAATATAACGTACGGGGTTGAAGGGTCGGATCAATCTAGGGCAAATTGGTCGTCAAGCTGCTAGCGGATCTTGCACCCACAGTAAGGAGTAGCTGTTCCCCCTTCGGACCGATCGTCTCATTTTTTCTCACCACTCCCTCTCAGTCAACATATTACCATGTAACTTAGCTGTTTTGCATAATGGGCTTTTTTTCCATATTTTCCCGGTTGTTCAATCGCCTTGGAAGCTCGCGAACCGGCTCTACGACCATTTCCACTACTCAGGAAGACGATGAGCTGTGGCTTTTCCCCGTGTGGCCACCAATAAATCCCAGGGAGATTCTTCGTCGCCGGGAATACTACAAAGCCCGCATGGAGCATCGCAGATATCGGGCTCCGAAGGGTATATTCGAGGACTCGCCGCTTTACGCCTTGTACCGCCTATATGAGTGGATCATGGTGGACGATGTCATTCACATGCGCAACGAGCTCGAGATGTTCTGGTGGGCGCGCTGGCCGGTATCTAGCATTCCCGATCCTGGCGAACAGGGCGATCCCGAGCGCTACGCGGTGCTGGCGTGCATACCCGCGCTGATCGTAGAAAGCTTCAACGAACGTAATGAACAAGGTCTACGCCGCCAAGAGCCGCACTCAATTCTGTCTCTTGAGGAGCAGCTACAATGGGCCGCAACACCAAAGATTGTTGAAAGTGAACCATCCTGGACGAAGACTGTGCCGCCACTGCAGAAGCTCTTGCATATACCCCATAGCCAGCCTTACACACCTCAATTGACAACGTTAGATGATCCTCAAGCGTGTCCAGCCTTTAAGAAGAGAAACATTTTGGCAATACGGCCTCACATTCATTTTATTTGACTTGATCTGCTCAGGATGTGGAGGATTTAGGGATAATCTCGGCGAGAAGACTGGAGTGGTGTAGTACGAGCATAGATTTTGCATGCTGACTTTGACCGCAACCTCAGCAATCCGTTCTCTCCAATACCGCCTGATCTCAGCAGTTCAGTCGGCTCTCCTGTCTTCACTTGTATTCTCGGCTTGCGGGAGTTGCTTGTAGTTGTACTAGGCGAAGGCCAGCAGGCACACATGAGTCAGCACGTAAACGTTTGAACCAAGTAATTACACGACTGCGAGGACGGTCACATCTTACTTTTTGATCCTTCACACGCACCAGCATTCTTTCACTTCAATATCTGCACCTAGCATCTCGACGGCTAACTGGACTCTTCCCATACTGACTTCCTGGAGCTCACTATACTGCATGGCCAATGAACCTTGGAGATCACTTTGTCAGGCAATGGCTGGGCCATACCTAATACACCGGACTCTGAGCCATCGCCGGGTCATCGCGCAGGAATCGAACCTACTCCCCGACACTACTGTCTTTCAATAGCAATATGTGTAAATAATCAGGGCGGCCAGATGCCAAGGCACCAACGACGGTTTAGGGCGAAGCCCATGGGTTTTCAACCATGAAGGAATCAGGTTCTCACCTATTAAGAAATCAAGTTTTCACCTACTAAGGAATCAGGTTTTCCCCTTTTAAGGAATAATAGCCGTTAAGCTTTCGCTCATCGAATAAGAGAGGGAGTTTTCAATCATCCACTGATCAACAAGTTTGGATAGTGATAAGGGTTCGCTTGGATGGAGGAGCAGGCAACGGCCAGGTACCCGCATGCCTTGGCCCTGGCAATCGGCACCTCCGCTATTATGATTTAATATTGATCATCAGCTGGCGTCTATGGGAGTGGTAATCTCAGATTGAGCTCGCATTCCCAAATTCATGATAAACTCAAGTCACATCAAGCGCACATTCACAAGGCGAGAAAGTTCTCGATGAGCTGGTGGCACAAATGGGTAAAGCTCCGTCATTTTGCAGACGGAAGTTCTTGTTTCGTCACTTCCGTGCATTGCCACACTGAATCATGGAATATGACGATGTACAATTATCCTGTTCTGACGCGAAACACCCCTCTTTTAAACAGTGAAGCACTCTCACTCTTCTAGGGCCACCCAATAGCTAAAGCACATTGAAAGGGAATACATTGTAGCAGTTTAAAGATCGCGCCTAATCCCATGGGTTGTCTAAGTGAACTTCTGCATCTATCTACAGGTATTGCTTGCGATGTGGAAAGGTGGGGAATTAATGGTGTCAGAAATAAACAGGATGAGACGACGAGACCAACAGCAGGCAAGCCATAGCTTGGCGGCATCAGCCCCTAGCCAATCACACACAGGTTAATCATTAAATCAGGCAAAATGGTTCGAGGGCAGGGCACGGTTAAATACAAGACCCCAATGTTTAGTCCCATCCTTATTTTCCCACACACTCCTTCACAACAAAATTCCATTCACACCGCGATCAGTACACAGCGAGGGTTTTGACCACCACTGCCACTCCATCTCAAACTAAATTGAGTCCAGAGTTGTCGTAAGTAAGCGTCACTCGTTTTTGCGCGTTGCCGCTCACGTCGATGGCAACTTCACCGTGATTAACCCATGAAGCAGAATGGCACCTTATCACACGGAATGGGAAGAGTACGTTAAGCCCTTTCGAAAGAATCGGCGTCTGCTTGTCGCCCGTAATATTGACTTCAATGCTACTCGGGCCGAATTCGAAGACAATGTCCGAGCTAAGCTCACCAAGCCCGGCTCCGTCATCTTCCTCTGGCCGCCGGCTCCAGCCCAATACAACAGCTTGAATAAGCATACAGGCTCGAGGATGCTGGGGTTCAACCACCGGCCCGATGCTAGTACGGCTCAGAGTGACCTCGAGAACTAGGAGTTCCGCGGCCGCCGAGTCAGAATCGACCGAGCAAGCATGGTTGCGGCGAGTCTCCGGATCTACTCTTTTTTCTCCTTTATCTCCTGTTGGAGACACTGCTCATTGCAAATGCCAGTATACCCCAAGCTTCGCCAACAGACGGGAGGCTGCTCTGCCAAACGTTGCTCCCCCGAACGTTGCTTCCCACAACGCTGCCCCTCCAAACCCCGTTCCTTCCATGGCTCCCGCCGTCCTTGGTCCCGCGACCTCTGCTCCAAGGACTGCTGATGTCGATCTCCCCGAACAGTCCACTTCGGGCCATGGCTCTGCCTCCCGCGTTCAGACAAGGGAGGATAGAGGCAATACGAAGACAAAGACGCGGACCAGAACCAAGAAGATGACGACCACGAGGTGTATCTGGACGACTAAGAACGGCAAACCTCAGTAGGTAGATGGGCGAAAGCCCACTGTCTCCCTATTCCTTAAAAGGTGAAAACCTGATTTCTTCATGGGCGTCAACCCCTGGGCTATCGCCCTAAAGGTCGTTCTGGCAGCCCTACGGGGAGTGGGTTCGATTCCCACGACGATCCTGTGAACGTGTGAAAGTATCGAATGTGGGGATGCGACGGATATCCTTGTTTTTAGTCATAGATTGCATTTAAATATGCATGCCAGTCAGTCGGCCTCCCACTTCATTGCTCGCCGTATATGATCGATTTGGTCTGACTGCGCCAAGTCAACAAGATCTCCTACAGACATGACTCCCCACGGCAAATATCAGGAGCTGTTTGCAAAGACACAATTCAACAATCACGAAGATGACAAGCATAGTGGTCTTATTTGGGTATGTGACCCTTCGGGCATCGTCAAGTGTCCAAGCCGCTCCCTGATCCAGCGGACGATCCTTTCGCGGCAAAGGATCCATTCATTGTTCACAAGTGCCTAGGCCGCTTTGTTCCTATAAGACTTCTGGGTGCGACTGCAGAATTGGTTACTTTAAGTACATGGGTCATTCTACTCTTAGTTGATATCTTAACTGACATGGCCTACAGTCCGCATGAATACTCTTCGGGACAACATGTCATCGTTGCATTGTGGAAACGAGATAAGAAGCGTACGGGAATGAAGCCCGGCACCTTACCCAGTGCATAAGCATGTTCTTTTCGCCGCCGATTACAGACTCGCCGCAAGTTTGCATCAACAAACTCCCAGGGGATCACTGCATTGTTATTGCGTAGAGCGGTCGATGGACGGTACACGCAGCCTTGCACAGCGCATTCATCCGCTTGCCTCCCAAGTACATTGTGCATTCCGATGCAGATATAGATGTTAGTAGTGCACAAGACTATGAAGTTGTCAGGCGGTAAGTTTAGGGATGAACATTGTGTGCAAATGGCTGCATGGGCTGGCTCATTCATTTGACGACAATAGGAGGGTTGAGCTCATTGACATGTATGCCTTTATGCTGAAGCATCTTTGAAGCATGCAGCAGGTATCAGCACGTCCGCAGGTATTCATTCTGTTCTCCCTTGGGCAAGGGGCAGAGTTCTATGACAAAATTCCTCATAAGGCGGCTCACCAAGTCCAGCACTCTTCCACGGAAGCCACGTATCAAGCTCGTCAACTCGGGCAGATTCGACTACCGTTGGTCTAGATGCTGACTGACAACTTAGGTACCGCAAGATATTCCAAGAGCCAGTTCACATTTCGCTTGAGCAAGATCGGGTATCTCAGACACGAGTCATGATGTCGATCCAGAGTCTTCCAGAAGAGTTGAGCTTTGGGTGAGCCACATGGCACACACATACCCCTTATCCAAGGACGTTGGTAAGCGCCCCAACCGTGCTCATCATGGGTGTCACACTTCGGAACTCTTCTTCGGAATGCGAACTGATTGGTGGAGGTCTGTAGTGTGCACCGCCCATGTCCGGTCTAGCCGAGGCTCCAGGAACCTCAATTTCCACGGACCGGAAAACCTTAAAAGTGGAGGAAACTTAACAATTAGCAAGATGCTTACGAAAGTTCCTAGGCTCTCGGGCATACCACAATCAACAGAATGCGACGCTCTCCCTTGCGTCAGAGACTAGCGTCTAGTCGCAAGGAAATGGCGCGATTTGGTCCCCTCCCAGATTCCGGCGCTTAGGACCCCAGCGTGATAACTGATTAATAAAAAACAGTACAATGCGCCATTTTGCGCCATATCACGTTGCAATCCTGATCGAGTTAAGAACGTATTAAATGATTCGACGAGCCCTCCTATCTTCTCATTCAGAAAGCAATACAATAGTATAACAAGTTGAATTACTCACAAGCCTAACCCGCAAGTCAACCAGCCATCAACCAACTGCCAACTCGAACAAAGTCCTCCAAAATGGCCTCTTCAAATCTATTCAAGCCGCTATCCATAGGAAACATCACGCTCAAGCACCGTCTCGCACTCGCACCCCTAACCCGCTTCCGCGCCTCCGATGAACACGTCCCGCTGCCCATTGTGACGGACTACTACAAGCAGCGCGGGTCCGTCCCGGGAACTCTGCTCGTCACCGAAGGCACCTTCATCTCCGCCCAGGACGGCGGCTACAACAACGTCCCCGGCATCTGGAACCAGGACCAAATCGACGCCTGGCGAAAGGTCACCGACGCCGTCCACAAAAACGGGAGCTACATCTTTATCCAGCTCTGGTCCCTCGGCCGCGTCGCCGCGCCCGACGTCGCCGCCAAAGAGGGCATCTCCATCCTCGGACCAGACACCATCCCCGCCACCGCGGACTCCCCCAAGCCGCAGAAGCTGAGCATTGCGCAGATTCAGCAGAAGAAGGAGGCGTACGTAGCGGCCGCCAAGAACGCCATCGCCGCCGGCTTCGACGGCGTCGAGCTCCACGGCGCAAACGGGTACCTCATCGACCAGTTCCTGCAGGATGTCTCCAACCAGCGCGACGACGAGTACGGCGGCAGCATCGAGAACCGATCCCGCTTTGCTGTCGAGGTCGCCGCCGCCGTCGCCCAGGCCATTGGGCCCGAGAGGACGGGCATTCGCCTCAGCCCCTGGAGCACGTTCAACAGCATGAAGATGGCCGACCCGGTCCCGCAGTTCTCAGACGTCATTGCGAGGCTGGACCGCCTGAACCTCGCCTATCTGCATCTGGTGGAGCCTCGAATCTCGGGCAATGTCGATGCTGAGGCCAGCAGCGCCGAGAGCCTGGAGTTTGCGTACAAGCTGTGGAGGGGCCCGCTTCTCGTCGCCGGCGGCTTCAAGCCAGAGACTGCGAGGCGCTTGGTCGATGAGCAGCACCCCGACAGGAAGATTGTCGTCGTGTTTGGCAGGCGCTTCATCTCGACGCCGGATTTGCCGTACAGGGTGCAGAACGGGCTCCAGCTTGCCGAGTATAACAGGGATACGTTCTACAATGCGAAGGATCCGGTCGGCTACACGGACTATCCTTTTAGTCAGGAGTTTCTCAATAGCAAGGAGGGACAGGCCGTATCGGTTGCGTCTGCTTAAGGTGGTGGGCATCCGTAGAAGGAGCTTGTTTATCTTATATATTTTTTCGGGCGTTTCGGCATACAGAGAGCACATATAGACAGCAGCATTAGAGAAATATCAATTCTTTGTTTTTCAATAAGGCATAACAGAAAGTTGCCGCGACCTATTTGATGTGATGGTTTCCATTGCTCAGGGAGTCTTCCTTTCAGCCATGTTTCGCAAAACACTGCGTCCTGGTTCAGTGACGAGGCCTTGATACGGTTGCAAACGATACTTATGTCATCAATCGTACTCTCCCCATACACGCCAGCTCTGTCTTCCAACTTTGTAGTTTCACCTCTATCATAATTGCTGTTGACAGCATGCAGGTGCAAGAATACACACAATGCTGAGACACTCTTAGAGTTGCGAGCCAACTGAGCCCCGTCCCAAAATATAGTGACGACTTGACTCCTCAAAGCCGCAATTCCGCGGGATGTATTTACTTACATACTCATGACACGTCCCAATGCAATTGGTTCAATTCCGCCGTCATGCCCGTTCGTCCGGAAACATCACCCTCAGGTCGACAGGGGTCCAACATAAACTTCATTTCGCTGGCATTGAGATTGGATTTCGAGTGAATCTCGTCTACATGCAGGCGCGGGAAACAGTCTCACTGCTAAAAGTAAGGACCCTGTCGCCTGCTCCTCGTTCTCCCGGACTGCGTGAAGCTAAGCCCATTTGTCCAAAGCTTTAGATGGCATAGATCTCTCTGTCTGGGTTCTGGAACTGGGCTAAACACATGGCATCCTACATCCTACGTTACGTCGAGATCTGCAGAGTCCGAAGCAGGACCATTAGGCTTGATGTACTGTGGATATCAGCGTATCTAACCAGATCACATACCTAGCGATCGCGCTCTATAGCATAATATACTATAGTATATTGGCGTATACTTCTTGATGGGCAAATCTATTCTGCTACAGATTGGTTTGCAGGGCTTCTTCCTAGCGTTAAATAACCTGACTTTGCAACTCAAAGCATAAGTCTTCTCAGATGAACAGCCGGATTGCACCACGTTAATGGGGACAAAACGTCTTTCACAAGGAGTGGCGAATATGGTCGTGCGCTACCTCATTTTCCATCGGTTGAGCGAAGTGGTTTCACTGTAGTCCAAGGCATACCACACAATTCAGGCAACCCAACATACCTTTGAGTTGAGCCACAAACGAATTGGCTTTGGAGCATTTGGTTTCCCAAACACTTCAGATTAATCATTAGCCTGGAAAGTCAAGAAACAATACAGCCAGTTGTGTAGGCCGGATCGCACCACCCGTCCCATCCGACATGATGATGGGGGTTCGTCTCAACCAAAAGAGACGCTGACAAAGCAGGACTCGAGCAAAACAGAGGGAGAGCGTAGGCGGCTCGAGGCTTGCATTGCCTAACGATCGAAAGGCTGATCTAGTACGGCGTGGAGAGCTTACTGAGCAGTCTTGGTGATATATGCGACGAGATATCGTGATGAACACGGCGTCAGGGGAGCGTCACGACTCCCTCTCGTGAATCGTCATTAGTAGCGTATGATGGTGTGGTGCTTTTCCCGTCTTGTTTATGAATTCTCAATTCGTTCAGCCAACAACAATAAATGGTTCCTGCCATTAGTTATCCGATCCTGTCATTCTGGCCGCCCAAAACCTCTGCAATTCCTCCCGGATCACCAAGAGCTAGGTCGAATTGGGGTCTATTGCTGCGTCTAGAAGGTCCTGTCCAACAAGCGCTTGATCGGCAAAAGAGCCATGTGCTAGGGCGCATGAACCTGACACTCCCAGTACCCGATTGTGAGGAGGACCAACAGTGGCAATGACGGATTCCCTGTTTTGCAAAGGACCCAACTCGTTAGCCAGATTCTACCAACAGACCGAGGATATAGTCAAACTACGCAATCGTTTGGAGCATTTCCGAGACCGTACCGCAGGAGGACAACTTGCGGGCCGCTGTAAACCTTCAGCAGGGTCAAGAAACCTCCCATGTGAGATCGCTAGTATTTTCGACATGACTATATAGGGTGGACCAGAGATGAGCAGTGTTGTATGTCTCACTAGGTTGTAATCGATGGCGGCACACGCGTGACATGGTTGCGATGCAGACTGCAATGGGAAAAGCCATAGCAGTGTCCGTCGTTGACTCCGCTGCCTTGATTCTGTACGGCTCGTTGAAGCCGCTAGATATAGTCAGAGTGCTTTGAACAAATTTTAGGACTACACTCTACAGTATTGTCTAAACACCCAGTCAGGCCAAAAGCATATGTCACACGAAAAAATACCAAAAAACGGGCGTGGCCACGCCACAGTATTTTATGTGTTATACCCCCTTATATCCCTTTGCGACAGCATAGGGTGTCCACTGTTCGGTGGCGGTGCTGGTGGACGTTGAGACATATAGAACACAATGCATTCCAGAAAATGCCACTCTTCGGAAAGCAGCTCGGGGGCTACGGTTGTGGCTTCAGCCTTCAGCGCCATAACTGAGTCCCAACGTGAGGCGGCGGGATGGCCCGTTCCTGGCCGTGTTCATGACGGGATTCAAATTTCAGACTAGATGTTGACTTTGTCAGCGCAAGGGCTACTACAGGAAATGGGCCGCCATGGTGCGATTAGCCTTTACCAATGATGGGTTGGATATCTCCATCGTCACATGTAAATATATGCAGGCGTTGTTCAAATTGTGCAGGCCGGCAGAGGGCGAGACACACCGGGTGTAGTTGTGTAGATGTGAGAAGAGGTAGATTTGGGTGGAGCTCAACAGAGATGCGGGAAGTTGGACGTTATTGCCGGACGTCCAATGAGAGTGTGAAATGTTGTTGGTACGTAGTACTACTACTAGTTGGTAGGAACAGACCAGGCACGAACTGTCGTATTCGTATCGGGGCCGACGGACAGTCAACTTGTCTGCTCCCACAACTTACAAGCTCTGATCGAACCACTAGCCATGCGGCAGATCATCCAACAATCGGGCGAGAGCATTGCGACATTTCAATGGGCAAAATACCCTCATGTCTGTACACGTTGCAGCCTAACATGTGAAAGAACCTGCCAAGGCCGTTCTTTGTACTGCGATATTTTTTGCTAAATGTCGCCCACCACAATTCTTTTCCTTTTCGGCGCATTTAGAGAACTGCAAAGGCATCAATCACATCAGGCCATCGGAGGCCCACACATCCGGCCGACACCCACACCAATCCCATGGGGACGGCAGGAAGGGGCAAACGACTCGAAATGGGACCACGTCAAAGAAAGTTGAAAGGACCAATGAAGCACCGATGTTTGGGGATAGGCGTTGGTTGTACAGGTGTGCAAGTGGTCTGGTCCATCAGTCCGCAGTTCAGGCTTGGCTACCGAATACTTCACATTTGCGCCAAAGTGAGACGAGATGCCCTGTCCGGATCCAGAGCTTCCGTCCTCTGGTCCGTACTCGTTTACAGCAGTGAAATAGCAGCATAGAGTCCGTACGCTGCAGATAAGAAAGAACATGACCCCTTGGACTACTTCGCATCCACATCCCGCCGTCTAGTCGGCTCTCCTCATCAACCATCGAGCAGCGTTTAACGACTGGCATGGCCGGGACTTTGTCTCAACTCAAAAGCTCATAATTCATCCGACTACGTCCCCAAAACTGCTGCCCATCATGGATGTTGTTCTCGATCTCTACGAAACAAATATAGGCGACCATGTCTATGCCAGGCTGTTTCCGGCGCATCCGACGCCGTACGATGCTGATTTATTTGCAAACACGACCATATTTCCGTTTGGTTTCGAATGTGAATATAAACCGCCGACCAAGTACTTCACTGTGCCACCCTCGCCAGATATTTGCCGAAGCGCCTGGGCGAGAGACAATATTCTCAGGCAGTCCATCGACCTCTTTCTATTGCTGTGGTGAGTTTTCAACTCTGTTGCCAACATCTCATGTATACACCTCCTCCTAACCAGACGACTCCGTGCGACAGGATCTTTGGCATGGCGGTCTACTTTTTGTTCTCCACGCTCTCGTACGTCTTCATCTTCGACAAGCAGCAGCAAGAGCACCCGCGCTATCTCAAAAACCAAGTCAAGCTAGAGATCCAAGAAACCCTACGGGCACTTCCCGGCATGTCTCTCCTCACGCTGCCCCTCGTTCTCGCCGAAGTCCGCGGGCACACCAAAATGTACGATACCGTAGCGGACGGGCCCGGCCTCTGGTACGAAATCCTCCAGTTCCCGCTGTTTCTGCTGTTTACCGATTTCTGCATCTACTGGATTCACAGGGGCCTGCACCACCCGCTCATATACAAGAACATTCACAAGAAGCACCACAAGTGGGTGGTGCCAACTCCCTTTGCGGCGTATGCCTTCCACCCCGCGGATGGCTGGGGCCAGTCTCTCCCTTATCACGTGTTTACCTTCATCTTCCCCATGAACAAGTTTTCGTTCCTGGTGCTCTTTGTCTTTGTCGTCTTTTGGACGATCCTGATCCACGACGGCGAGTACCTGGCGGACAATCCCGTCATCAATGGCGCAGCCTGCCACACGATTCACCACTTGTACTTCAACTACAATTACGGCCAGTACACGACGCTGTGGGATCGAATTGGAGGCAGCCACCGCGTCCCAGACAGGGAAATGTTTGACAGGGCCAAGAAAAACGGCAAGACTGAATGGGAGAGACAGAACAAGGGGGTGGAAAGCATGATTCTCGAGGTTGAGGGACAAGACGACCGGATGTACTCGCCAGAGGAGTTCAAGAAGAACAAGTAAAATAGGCAAAGAAAGGCCGTGGGGTGGGTTGCTTGTGGTTTTTTTTTTTTTTTTTGGTCAAACTGGGTGTTTGCTGGGAGCGCTAGAGGGGGTAGCTATTGTGCTTTCAATGTGGGATACTTGTCAATTGTGGGCGTTGACTTGGGCCTCTTTGACTTGCAAAAAGGTTGTATTTAGAGCGTAGGCGGTGTTGATTCACTGAATTGCTAGACCCTTGATTTTCAACTTTTTCACATCGTTTTTGCTATTAATTCTAATATTTTCTATTTTTATACAGTAAAATATTAAAATGCCAGAGGTAAAGCGGCTGGGTGTGGGCAGGTACGCGATAAGGGACTTGATGGCTGAATATCCAGTCTAAAGGGTAATGCTGTATGTATACTTGCAATTCAACCTTCTGGGGATATTCCTATAACCCAACTTGCTTTGAATCCATCGACTTCATTTGCTCTTGATGCCCGACTTTCCATGTGTGCTTGTGAGGCGCAGCTGACCAAGGGTTCGTTCGTGTTACATCCGCTACCCCAGACGTCAGAGTGTAGACCCAGAATTCCCACTTTTTACCGGTAGCAACCGGCAACTTGGACAAGATGGACGGCCGTGGTCCTACTAAAGAGTGTCCCAGCACGGCGGCGCGGGACTGGACACTGTTTCGCCGTCTGCGCCAGAAATGGCGAAGAGGATTGATATTTTCATATTGTGCCGTGTCGGGCGTTCCGATTATCAACGGAGCGGCGTCAAGGTCCGTCCCACCCGTCTTCCGTCGTTTCTCTTTCTCCTCGCCACTCCTTGACTCGCTCTTCCTACGCACAAGGACACAATGGAGAGTGCACCAATAAGTTTCCCAGAATTCGCCGTTTCTGCACGCTTCATCCGAGCATTATGAAGGAATTTCTGGGTCTCGTCCTGTCCTCTGACGTCGCTGCCCCCACCGTCGATGGGCCAGTTCGCGGTAGCCTCATGCCAGCTGACCAGTGAGATGAAAGGATTGCAAAAAGCTTGAGCCCTTGAGATTGGCGTAAATAATGGAGCCAAGTTGCGAGTTCCCGGCCGCAGCGTTAAAATTTGGACTGATTGATGTGCAGAAACATACGGAGTAGACCGGAGTGAATGGGATGGATATTATGAAAAAGGGCACGTGCAACTTCAACGTTGTCACGTCTGGCGGAAATGAGCAATGTCTGACAGGTAGGAGCAGACCGAATGCGCGGGAGCCAATCAGGCGTCGGGCGACAGCCACGGCCACACCAGACCGTCAAGTTCCCGTCCCCTAAATTCAAGAGCCGTCAACTGGTCTGCATTCAGGAGAAAATTTGACATGAATGTCTAGTCCATGCTTCCTTCACAGCAGGTACTCCGTAGATGCAGCCACAAATGAGCCCCCCTTTTTACCTCGATTGTAGCCTCTTGCCGTGTTGCCTTCTTGCCTGTCGGACAAGGCTGATCTAATTTTTCCCTCTCCTGTCAGCACTTTAGGCTGTATCTGCCCCTGTGGTCCAAATCTTGTACTCCTCCATTTCACACACTGGTTTTTTTTTTTTTTTTTTTTTTTTTTTTTTTCTAATTTTGGCTGTCGGCATTTCCATTGATTCCCCATTTGCTCGCCACTTGCGCGTATTCTCTCTCTTTTTCATTCACTTCTTGGCCTCCATACCTCGACAGCCTAGTCCACCCCACGCTTCGAGCTTGTGACAACGCCATCGCATTTACCCCGACATCGCCCTTGTCTCTCTGCTCCGCTTCTCGGCATCATCGTGCGTCTATACTGGATAACCCCAGATAAGAACTACGGCGGTTGACCGTGGGTGACCCAAATTGGTCATCTGCATCGTGCGCCGCACATCCGCAACCTGAACATCGACCTGCGCCAGCTCACGCCAAGTGTACGTGTGAGGTGTGCGTGCGTGCGAGTGTGTGTGTGTGTGTCTTAGTCTGACGTCTCATAATCCCCATCGCATTACTCCCCCCTGTTCACCCCCTGGTTTTTTTTTTTTTTTTTTTTTTTTGCTCTCTCTAATCTTTGGCTGTCGGCATTTCCATTGATTCCCCATTTGCTCGCCACTTGCGCGTATTCTCTCTCTTTTTCATTCACTTCTTGGCCTCCATACCTCGACAGCCTAGTCCACCCCACGCTTCGAGCTTGTGACAACGCCATCGCATTTACCCCGACATCGCCCTTGTCTCTCTGCTCCGCTTCTCGGCATCATCGTGCGTCTATACTGGATAACCCCAGATAAGAACTACGGCGGTTGACCGTGGGTGACCCAAATTGGTCATCTGCATCGTGCGCCGCACATCCGCAACCTGAACATCGACCTGCGCCAGCTCACGCCAAGTGTACGTGTGAGGTGTGCGTGCGTGCGAGTGTGTGTGTGTGTGTCTTAGTCTGACGTCTCATAATCCCCATCGCATTACTCAGTACCCCATTCATTCTAGCTCTTCGTCTGCTTATTCCACCCGTAATACAACCAACTCGGCACACCACACGCGCCAGAGCCGACCATTCAGTCCGCGAGGCACTAGACAGATATCCCGAACACTGCCTGACCCGCACCTCTCCGACTAAACCACCCGACACTGCAGAGCGCTGGTGTTGATGATTGGAAACCTTGTCTTTGTCTGCTGTCACCAGACCCCGTCCATTATTTGACTCGGTTGGCCGACGTCACTTCCCATCTCCACCTCCTCTTTTCTCCTTTGGTACCTGATCAATTGAGACGCAGGTGGGTGCTGCTGCTCAACAGCCCCAGATCGCCATAATTCCTTCGTCAACTCCAGCTCGTCTCCCTTCCAACATTCCTCTACGGACCCTCCCTACCCGATCAGATACCGACCAAGACTCCCAGGCCGTTTCGCTATTGGGCTTTCCGGGCCACGCCGCCTCTAATCATCGTCGGCGGTCCTCCAGCTCCGAATCGTCCTGGACTGACACCGGCGATATTGGAGATCAACTCGGCGACGAACTCGATCCTGTACGTCTTCAGCTGCCCGAAGAGCTTGAGCAAGAGCTCCTCGCTGGTGTGCAGAAGCGTCAGCCCAAGCACAACAAAAAGGTTCGCATACGCGACCCCTCGCCCCAGGACTACGACCGATCCCCCTCGTTCCCTCGAACTCTCGACAAGGAGGCCATCGAAATCCCCCAGATCAAACCGCAACGGCCCTCACGCGCTCAACGTTGCATCGGAGCCATCATGTCGGGGCCATCGGGTTCCATCCACGGCCTGACAGGCAAGGCCCTGCTGTACGAGATACCACACCGCGTTTGCAACACTTGACTGTAGCGTACATACTGACACGATTCTTAAAGTTACTTCACCAGCATATTTGTTTCTCTTGGCGTGTTTCTATTTGGCTATGATCAAGGCGTTATGTCGGGCATCATCACGTATGGTCTATCCAAGCCACCCGAAAGCATGTGGACATGTCCTTGCTAACAAGACATCGTTTATAGTGGCCCTCACTTCATCGACTACTTTGACCATCCCTCCAAAGCTCACGTTGGTACCATGGTGGCAATTTTGGAGATTGGCGCCTTTATTTCATCACTAGTTGTCGGCCGAGTTGGAGACATTATTGGTCGAAGACGTACCATCTTGTATGGATCCTGCATATTCTTCGTTGGTGGCGCTTTACAGACATTGGCAACCTCCATGACCATTATGATGCTTGGCCGTATCATTGCCGGTGTTGGTGTTGGTATGCTCTCTACTATTGTGCCTGTGTATCAGTCGGAGATTTCCCCTCCTCATAATCGCGGAAAACTTGCGTGTATCGAGTTTTCTGGCAACATTATCGGCTACACAACCTCGGTCTGGGTAGACTACGGCTGCGGTTACATTGACAGCAACTTGTCGTGGAGAGTCCCCCTCCTCATGCAGTGTGTCATGGGAGCGCTTCTCGGTCTTGGCAGTTTGATCATTGTTGAATCTCCAAGGTGAATTTTGATTATTAGATATGAATGCTTTGAGTCTGTGATGCTAAATTTGTTTCAGGTGGCTTCTTGACAACGACCATGACGAGGAAGGCATGGTAGTCATTGCTAATCTTTACGGAGGCGGTGATATTCACAACCACAAGGCCAGAGAAGAGTACCGCGAAATCAAGATGAATGTGCTTCTCCAGCGACAAGAGGGCGAACGGACCTACTCTGACATGTTCAAAAGATATTCTACTCGCGTCTTTATCGCCATGTCTGCGCAGGCTCTAGCACAGCTGAATGGCATCAACGTCATCTCTTACTACGCTCCTTACGTCTTTGAATCTGCCGGCTGGGTTGGGCACGATGCTGTTCTGATGACGGGCTTGAATGGCATTACCTATTTCTTGTCCACAATCCCACCTTGGTACTTGGTAGATCGCTGGGGTCGAAAACCGATCCTGCTGTCCGGTGCAGTTGCCATGACTATTTCTCTGTCACTTATTTCATACTTCATCTACCTTGATGTCAAATGGACGCCGAGAATGGTAGTCCTATTTGTCATGATATACAATGCGGCGTTCGGCTTCTCTTGGGGCCCTATCCCATGGCTGTACCCACCAGAGATCCTGCCTCTCAGCATTCGATCCAAGGGTGCCAGCTTGTCCACAGCCACAAATTGGGCGTTCAATTGGCTGGTTGGAGAAATGACACCAATTCTGCAGGAATGGATCAAGTGGCGACTCTACCTTGTTCACGCTTTTTTCTGCACAGTCTCCTTTGTGATTGGTAAGTGCAACTATCCGCCAAGTTTTCACGGCGGCATTGCTAACCAGCCACTCAGTGTATTTCGTCTACCCCGAGACTTGTGGCGTGCGTCTCGAAGAAATGGATTCCATTTTTGGCGATGCTAGCACTGTCATGGGTACACCATCCATCCATGCCGACACCGAATCCCTCATACGTGGTGGCTCGCCGGGACCGTCCAGAGACTTTCCCGGAATGTCGCTTGATGCTGCCGTAGAAATAGACGACGATCGAAAATCACAAATCCAGACCAATGGAGGCGAGGACCGAAGCATCGGCGGCTGGCTCTCTAGAGTGGTGGCTCGCGGCAGATCACCGAGCGTCCGCAGCAGCCAAGGTCGATATGCTCCCTTGGGTCAGGAAGAGAGCCAGCGCAATGATGAGTGAAGCAAAAGCAAGCATGCCTTTTCGAAGTTAGAATTTTTGCATATATAGACCGAACAGGTGGAGCAATGTGTGGACATGCATACGGCGTCCTTCTTGGAATATGATTCACCAAGGGCCCAGGTTATGCCTAGGTTTTGGACGCTGTCAATTGGCGTTGGGTGTACGATCCGGGACCGCCAGTAAAGGCGTGTATAAGACGAGGCATTAACAATAGTTGGCGTTTTACACTATCACCTGCGCGTCGCTAAGGCGAACGATGCTTCCTTGTACCAGTTTAGACGGAACACTGGCGCCTGTCACGACAGTGAGTCACTGCCCGACTTTGGACTGTATAAAGCAGGAACCCTTTAAATTAAAATTATCAAGTATTTCAATACACCATGAACGCATCGCGATGCATTGGACACTAGCAAGACTGGTGATCCATCGCGGCAAACTTTTTGTTATATTATACAACATACCTTGGTGACTTATTATAGTTAAGTGAGCTGCACCTATCACCCCTATTGTAGGCTTAGACTTGGTAAGTCTGTAATTGGGGATGAATGGATCGGCGTTATGAAGAAGGCCGAATTCAGTCGGTGATCTACAGTCTGTGGCAGAATATATTTGCCCACTGAGAAGCATACACTAACAGACTAGAGTATATTATGATATGAAACACAATAGCTGGGCACGTGAGCTGGTTTAATACTTTTTGCCTCCCACTGTACTTGTATTTGGGTGATTAATAGCTTCCTGCCCGCTTCTGATGAACGCTATTCCTTTCTCAGAGTTAATTAAGCAAAGCGGGAAAGAGATGAAATGTACCAGTCTCTTAGCTTTACTTCTTTAATGAGGGTCCCCGAGTGCTAAGCCACTATAATCACAAGCCTCATTTACCTTGGTTTAAACTCAATGTACGAATGGTGTAAATAACCTTGGTTTCTATTATTGGTTTACTTTTAAGTGCCGGCACGAATCTTTGTGGATCATCGCGATCCTGCCGTTTTGGTGTCGAGGGCTGTAGTCACCTTTTAAAAAGCTCGTCGCAGGCGGGACCCTGCCGGGAGCCCCCAGAGGGGATAAATTACAGCTTGAAGCTTTAGCTCTCTGCGCTTTGCCTATCCCTAGGGCAACTTGCTCATTGGCATCAGGGTCTTGTACTAGCCTGCGGGACCAACATGGAAAAGAAGATGCCGAGAAGAAGATGCAAAGCACGACGCGCGTGCTGGGAGCGCGAGAACTTGAACAGAGTTAATAGATGCCTACCAGCGAAAGAAAACCAATCTGTACATGGACTTTTTAGCCGTTATTTGCGGCCATCTAGTCTAAGTCCTCGGACTAATTCAAAATTACTATGTAAATAAGTGAGTGGTCGCAGCCATTCGTCGCTTGAGTCGCCTGTACTGCAACCTTTACAAAATTGCAATGGTGAAAAGAGCCGCTTCAATAACTGCTGGCTCTGGGGGTTCATTTCCAGAGAGTAGTCGTAGTTCAGACTGCCTCGGAACCAAATTCAGTCTTTTTGTGCGTAGAATTCGCCCAGGGTAGCATGGCTGAGAAGCGAGCAGTATGTATGTATGTCTCCGCACGGTCCAGCACTGTGCACACCCAGACGCTGGCTATTAGAATAAAATTAACACGGTACAACCACTTCAAGTCCGACATCAAATAAGCCCAACCACAAAGTCATGGGGACCGAAGTCGTCCACGCCTACCGGCACTTGTACCGCTGCCTGCTGCGCGCGGTGCAGTACTCGTCCCCGGCGCGGTACATTGCGCGCGACCAGCTGCGGGCCGCGTTTAGGGAGACGCCGGCGCTGGACGCGGAGGGCGTGAAGCGCACCATCTGGTTCCTCGAGGCGGCGGGCAAGGAGAGAGGGCTGGAGCATGCGATTTTGAAGAATCTGCTGCGGGTGAGGGGCCAGAGGGACGCGGAGTCGAGGAGTTGGAAGAAGAATTTGATTGGCACGGCGCAGAGGTGAGTTTTCTCTATGTGTGCGGTGTGTTGAAGTCGTGAGGCTGACGGGTGTAGGGACGGCATGAAGAGCGATAGGGGCACTCCGTTTCAGCACTACGACATGACTGTTGCCATGTTGAATAGGACCATGGGGCTTTGTCTGCGATGAAGGTTGGGTGTATTTGTTATGGGCGTTTGCGGCCGCTTTACTCGTATCTTTTGGGTGACGGGCACGTGTACATCAGCGGATTTGTTAGGCCGAGGACTGGGACAGCATTGGATATTTTTTATAATACATTCAACAGATGGAGCTAAAGCGATAATACAAGTTTATGCGTGGCAAAACAATATCCATGGCTGAGGTCTTGCGCCTGGCTGACGGGTCTTGGACTGGCTAGCAGGTGGCGGGCTCCTCGATGACAATATCCAGCTCTTGTAGAATCAGATCGCTGAGACTGACGCCGTCACGGGTGTAGATCCAGCTCCCCGAGCCGGTGCCCTCCTTTTCTCCCTGGCCCTCGCCAATGATGCACCAGTCGTATCGTTTGGGGCCGGAAATCGGACTCGAGAGCCAGATCTGCTTGTTCGGGGGCTGCTTGTTGATGACGTATGTGCCCTTGTCTGCGACGTTGATGGTCATGACGCCGGACTGCAAGAAGCGCGATTAGTAGCCTGTTCTTGGAGGGCTTGTAGGGGAGAAAGCACAAACTGAATATTCAATGTCAATGTCCTCTCGTGCGTCTTGAAGCTGCTCGAATTTGGACAGAACAATATCCAGGTAGCTATCGGCTAGCTCGTGGTATTGGCCGTCAGATAGCTCAGCTACGCCCACGCTCGGTCGGGACTCTTCAACGCCCTGCTTGGCGGGGTTGTCGGTCTCGGGCATGATGCCTTTGAAGCGTTGAGATGACGTTGAAAAGGGCCGGTATGGGAGTCTGTTTAACCGAGGTCGGAGGACGTTGGAGGCGCGCGGGAGCAGTCTGAGGCTTGAGCGGGTGACATTTGATCGACAGGTGGCCTGGGCCATGAGCCTTGAAGCCTGCGTGACTCCTTGTCGGGACATGTTTGGGGGAAGGTAGCACGCTGAAATTCGTAGGTTGACGATCGTCTGCGATGTCGCGGAGTGATGATGGGAGCCACAGGCCCAGGACCAGGGAAAGGTTTGAAGGCGGTACGAAATTGGTCCGGCGAGAATTCAATTCTCGCGAGTGTTGATAGGGTGGTGGGATTTGAAGTTTTCAATGGCTCAGCTGCGCCTTGGAGGGGGTGAAGGAGCCGAGATGGCCAGATGTCAATTCGTGAGGAGAAAGCGGAGGAAAGGCGAGTTCGGCATACGGCTCAGCACGTCAACGCATGATCTGATTTGATTGATGCTGCCGATGAGCTCCCCACGCTGCACGTCAAGCCGCAGCTGTGGTTCGACATTGGCAGCTGGCCACCGGGCGCTCAGTGCCACCCACCGTCACCCGTCTCTCGACTGCCCCGCCGGTTTGAATTGTGTGCATGGGGCGGCCGACGAACTGTCCCGCGATACTTTACCTTCCCATCGTTTCGTCGACATTGAGGGTTTTGGCTTTTGCGACCATGATCAATGCTTTTCTGGTCTTCAACGGCCAGGGGCAGCCTCGTCTGACGAAATTCTATACACAGTTGGTACGTCACGCTCGTCTTCTGTCGCCAAACTAACAAGGTGCCAACTACTGACCACGCGTCCCACAGGAGACGAGCATCCAGCAGCGACTGATATCCGAAATCTTTACCCTGGTTTCAAACCGACCAAACGGCTCTTGCAACTTCCTACCCCTGCCGCCTCTTCTGGCTGCGTCTGGCACCTCGCAATCCTCGTCCAAGGAGCAGAATGACGTGCCGTCCCTCGTCACATACCGCAACTACGCGACGCTCTACTTTATCATAATATCCACCTCTACCGAGTCTCCCCTCGCCTTGATCGACCTGATCCAGGTTTACGTCGAAGCTCTAGACAAGCTGTTTGAGAACGTGTGCGAGCTCGACCTCATCTTCAACTTCGAAACATTACATGCCACGCTGTCAGAAATGATCATAGGCGGCGTCGTGATAGAAACAAATTTGGACCGCATAGTCTCGGGAGTCAGAGCACAGGGTACCGTGGCCAAGCGGCCGGTGAACGAGGGGAGAAGCACAGGAATCGGTTCGGGTTTGGGCATGGGTGCTAATTTCGCCTGGGCTGGCCGATGATGAGGGCGGTCTTGATGCGATTTGTTCTTCAAACTATGACTACGATGCCGATGAAGCTATGATACAGGGTGGTAATGTACATGGACCGTTTCAAAGTAATACCGAAATGAGCGGGTGGGAGGGCCAGGGTATTGTGATTGCTAAACGCCGTGTATGAAAATAGAAACACATGAAGAGAATGCATTATTTGGGTCTAGATTCCGGCCGTTGCGTCGACAGCTGTGGCTCTGGAGCATCCGGTCGTCGCTCATAGCGCTTCTCTGGGCCAATGACTCCAAAGAGGTTGCGCGCGTGACGGCGCATCTAAGAAGTGTGTCAGCAGTATATTCGGTAGAAACAAATTAAGACTGGAAATTTGGCAGACCTCTTCCGATGGCTTGTATTGCTTGCCCCACCATTCAAACTCGGAATAAAAGAGCAGCCAGACAAGGGCGGCTAGAAAACATTAGTGAGCAATGGCTCTGATACTTCGTCGTTTGGCGCGAAGAAGAAAACAAAGAATAAGGGAAACGGGCTCACCTGCGATTGTTGCCAGCTGCGCAAACTTGACGCCTTTTTCCCACCGCGGCGACCTGCTGGCCAGGAATATTCTACGCTTGTACTTCTTTTCAAAGCGCAGTTGCTGTGCGTGGTTCAACTCCTTGAAGTTGGGGGGCCATACTTTGCGTGCTTGGTACGGGTTGTTGAACACGGTGAAGGGCACCTGCTTGGGGAGAGAGTCTTTGCCCGACTGAGCCAGTCGTCTTGCCGTGGCTGCAAACATGGCTCTCTTTTTGTTCGTGATCGTCGTGTGCAGGGGACGCGACGCAGGGTGACTCGACTCGTTTTTTGATGCGCCGATGTTCGCTATTGTCGATGTCGTGGATTTGTCGGTTCGTCGGTTGTGCGTCGCCAGCCGGTATTCTTCTGTCGGCACTAGCATGGTGCCGCAGGAAAGGTCAATGAATTTTATCGGCCAGGCCGCCTTGTCAGTTGGTAGATCCGGGCAGCGCCGCTTTTACGCGGGGACAACTGTCAAGTGGCCCTGGTTTGTCGTTCCGGACTTGGAGCCGGTTGCCTGAAAAGTTACATCCCAAGTCCCTCCTGTGCCTCATGTCACAACGAAGGACATTTTGAGCTGTACCACTGCACGCGAGGTGCATTGCCGCAACCTCGTTGTCGACACGGTCTGTGTTGTTTAAGCCCATGGCTCTCGAATTGCTCAGCCGCACAATGGCAGTAGAGATCCCTTCTGCAGGAGGCGAATCAGTGCATGGCTGCCGCCGCTATGCCTGCTCCGGGACTCTTCGAGGACCAAGTGATCTGGAAGAGCAGTTAGTGATTGCGGAGATGTTTATACTCGCGATTTCGCCCCCAAACTCAGAATTTCTGCCTACGGTTGCTGCCTCCTTACTTTAACATCACGGCTGGAAGGCCTTCCTAACTAACTAGGTAGAGTTTTTGACTTAAGTGCTGACTGCTGCTGCCCTGTGCCGAGCACTCATCTCTATTAAGCCTCCCCCAAAAGCTGGTGGAAAATGGTCTTTATGAGTGGGAAAAGGTGTGTGCATATTATGACTTGATCCTGATCCTGTTTATATTGCGAAACTACTCCGTAGCACATCGCATGAAATCGACATTTATAGGTGGCTTTCGGACCGGGGCCAAAACTGCACACAACATGGACTCAGCCACAGGTACTCAGCAGCACTGATGCCGGAAAAACGGCGGCCAGGGCATCGCTCAACTCCGTGCTGGTCAAGCCACACCCACTCAGCCTGCCGTCACTGGAGCCCCGCGATTTTAACCCCTCCACATGGCCTTCGTTGGTGACTCAAAAAATTCCACTTGGGACAGTACATGCCATTCTGCCAGATTGCCCGCGCAGACCAACAAGAGTGAGCCAGGGGCGATCCTATCCCGCAAGTGAGTCAAGCTGAGAATCCCCATCACATGAATAAATACTGTGCTTTCGGCTGTTGGATGCGAAACTATTCCTGATGCTGATAAGCTTGAAATTACCTGCAGGACTCGCAATATGGCTACGAATTCCGTGCCCAAGGCTATGGAGGCCTTGTCCATTTCTAAGACCAAAGAGTTGAAAGGGGTATGTGAGCCTTACTTGTCCTTTACTTCGCTGAGAACTCATTCTGATAATTGCCCCTGGCCAGACCGAAAAAAGAGACTCCTTGATTGCTGTCGAGAAAATGTACCAGCAGAAATGGCAAGACGACAAAATCTTCGAAGTCGACGCTCCTACAACCACCGAAGTGCCTCTGCACTCAATCCCCGCCGCCGAGCTACGAGAAAAAGTTCCCAAGTTCTTTGGATGCATGGCATATCCCTACATGAACGGTACTCTGCATGCTGGCCACACGTTTTCGGCCAGTAAAGTCGAGTTTGCCACTGGTGTTGCGAGAATGCAGGGAAAGCGTGCTCTGTTCCCGATGGGCTTCCACTGCACCGGCATGCCTATCAAGGCTTGCGCTGACAAGCTGATTAATGAGATTGGAAAGTTTGGCGAGGACTTCTCTGGATACAACGACGAAGAAGATGATGCTGCTGGGGAGAAACCAGCCGCGGCAGCCGTTAGCCAGACCAAGGAGGATGTCACCAAGTTCACTACCAACAAGAGCAAAACCAAGGCCAAAACCGCCAAGATGAAGTACCAATTCCAAATCATGCAGGCGATTGGCATCCCCACAGAGGAGATTCATCAGTTTGCTGACCCTCAGCACTGGCTCAAGTTCTTCCCTCCTCTAGCGATTCAAGACTTGACCAGCTTTGGTTGCAGAATTGACTGGCGCAGGTCTTTCATCACGACTGACGCGAACCCCTACTATGATGCCTTTGTCCGATGGCAAATGAATCGTTTGAAGGAGCTGAACAAGATCAAGTTTGGAAAGAGATATACCATCTACTCCATCAAGGATGGACAGCCTTGCATGGATCACGACCGCGCCGAAGGAGAGGCGGTCGGTCCCCAGGAGTATACTGCTTTGAAGCTGAAGGTCTTGGAATGGTCACCCAAGGCTGCTGAGGTTGTGAAGGGCAGGGTCCCTGAAAATGCTGAAATTTTCTTGGTTCCGGCTACTTTGAGACCCGAGACCATGTATGGCCAGACTTGCTGCTTTGTTGGACCTAAGATCACCTACGGCTTGTTCAAAGCTGGCGAGAACTCATATTATGTTGTCACTGAAAGAGCTGCTCGTAATATGGCGTACCAAGGCATCTTGGCCCAGGAGGGAGTTGTTGAGAAAGCCGGCGAAATCCAGGGCACTGACATGGTCGGCACTTTGGTAAATGCACCGCTGTCATGCCACAAGGAGGGTGTTCGTGTCCTGCCTATGGAGAATGTTTTGCCCACCAAGGGAACTGGCGTCGTCACCTCTGTGCCCTCGGACAGTCCTGATGACTTTGCCACCGTAACGGAGCTGGCCAAGAAGGCCGACTACTACGGCATCAAGAAGGAATGGGCTGAGTTGGAGATCTACCCCATTATTGAAACCCCCTCATTTGGTGACTTGTGCGCGCCTTTCTTGATCAAGAAGTTGAAGATTGCTTCTCCCAAGGACACCAAGCAATTGGAAGAGGCCAAGGAGTTGTCTTACAAGGAGGGTTACTACCAGGGCGTTTTGAAAGTTGGTGACTTCAAGGGCGAAAAGGTTGAGACTGCCAAACCCAAGGTTCGCGCCCAGCTGATTGATGCCGGCCACGGATTTGCCTACTCGGAGCCTGAGCGAAAGGTCGTTTCTCGATCTGGCGATGACTGTATTGTTGCTCTGATGGACCAGTGGTATTTGGATTACGGCGAGGAAAAATGGAGAGAGACTGCCCTGAGATGGGTTGAGAACGCCGATGGCAAGGGCTTGAACACTTGGACCGCCGAGACCAGGCACAGTTTCGAAGGTGTCTTAAACTGGCTGAACCAGTGGGCTTGCGCCCGTACCTACGGCTTGGGATCCAAGTTGCCCTGGGATCCCCAATTCCTGGTTGAGAGTTTAAGTGATTCCACCATCTACATGGCCTACTACACCGTGTGCCACTGGTTGCACAAGGACTTGTATGGGCGAGAGAAGGGTGTAGGAAATATCACTCCTGAACAACTGACAGATGATGTCTGGGACTATCTGTTCTGTCGTCGCGACTTGAGCGAAGACATTCTGAGCTCATCTAAGATTCCTAAGGCCACACTGGAGAGCATGCGCCGTGAATTTGAATACTTCTACCCGCTGGATGTGCGAAGCTCCGGCAAAGACTTGATCCCCAACCACTTGACCTTCTTCTTGTACATTCACCTGGCCATATTCCCGCCTGAATACTGGCCACGAGGTATCCGAGCCAATGGTCACCTAATGCTCAACGGAGAGAAAATGGCCAAGAGTACCGGCAACTTCATGACCCTGCGCGACTTGGTCGAAAAGTACGGCGCCGATGCCTCGCGTATTGCCATTGCTGACGCTGGTGACGGTGTATCCGATGCCAACTTCGAAGAAGATGTTGCCGACAACAACATTCTGCGCCTATTCAACTTGCGTGAGTGGTGTGAAGAAATGGTTCGAGACGAAGCTGATCTGCGCACCGGCGAGACCAACACCTTCCAGGACGCCCTCTTCCACAACGAAATGAACGGCGCCGCCCGCGAGGCTATTGATCAATACGCCCAGACCAACTACAAGCTGGCCCTCAAGGCTGCTCTCTACGAATTGACCGGCGCCCGTGACTTCTACCGCGAGGCTTGCGCCGCCGCCGGCATCAAGATGCACAAGGAACTGGTGTTCAAGTACATCGAGCTGCAGGCCCTCCTGATGGCCGTCATCGCCCCCCACTGGTCCGAATACATTTGGTTGGAGGTGCTGAAGAAGCCCAGCACCATCCACGACGCTACCTTCCCCAGCGTGCCTCCCGTCGACGCCGCCTTGTCCGCCAAGCGAGACTACGTGCGTAACACGGCATCCAACATCAACTCGGCCGAGGGCCTGCAGCTGAAGAAGAAGGCCAAGGGCAAGGAGACCTCTTTCGACCCCAAACGCCCCAAGAAGCTGACCATTTACATCTCCGATAAGTTCCCGGCCTGGCAGGCCAAGTACATCGACCTGCTGAAGGAAATGTGGGATCCAGCCACAAAGTCCGTCAACGACAAGGAGCTGAACGGAAGGATCGCCAAGATGGGCGAGATGAAGAAGGCAATGCCCTTTGCTCAGACCCTGAAGAAGCGCCTGCAGTCAGGCGAATCCCCCAGCGTGGTCCTGGAGCAAAAGCTTGCGTTTGATGAAAAGGAGACGCTGGCGCAGATGCTGCCCGGCTTGAAGAAAGCTGCCGGCCTGGTAGAGTGTGACGTGTTGGTCGTGGAGGAGGGCGGTAAGAAGGGCGTGAACCTGGTGGACGGCAAGGAGGTTGACATCACGGTGCCGACCGCGGAGAATGCTGTGCCTGGGGTGCCGACGTTCTTTTTTGAGAATGTCGATGCGTAGAAAATATTACGATAGATGGGTATTCTGGCAATTACACTGCGGGGACTACTAGGATGGTAGAAGACGATAAATCAGGTAGACATGATGTTTTTACTTTACTGCTGTTCACGGAAGTCATATCGTCTATGTGAGCCAGGGGCCATGTTGAATGTTGCTGCTGAATGAGCTCAAGGCATTTAGACAGAAGGGCCTTCATCCACGATACGGAAGTTTTGAGCAGCAGATGAGACGAAACTAAGGACAGACGTTTGCCACCGCACCGAAACCAGGCCAGGTGGTCGTTGCCACTCTCACGGATGCAGAATTGCGTGCTTGCTATACGATCACGATGTGAACCATGTGCGTGAGGACAAGGATGTTTGCATTCGCTCACGAGATGCGCCATGATTGGCGGTCACTGCCAGGGTTGCCCGTGGCGACAAAAACAGGCACGTCTGTCCATACATCTCGTGCAGTATCGACAAAACAGGTTGGAGGGTCGGGATCTACAAAAGGCCTCACAGTTAGACGCTATTTCTGTTTCTGCTGCACACCGCCGCGGCCGATACAGCAAGAGTCTGGTGTACGACGGGGAGCTATCAGTACAGAGCTGGTTGCATTACTGGTCGCGTAGATCGCAATTGCCACAGATGATCAAAAATCCAATCATCTGCCCGCCATGATACACGGCTTGGGTCACGATGACGGGAGAGGAGGGGATCAAAGGCTGACGTAGTCTCGTATCTCCCACCATGGGAAACAGGACGTGGCCAGTGAATGGCCAACAACCTTTTTTTTGGCTAAATTTCGTCGAGCCAAGCAGGAAGAAACAAATGCTCTTTCAAGGACCTTTGATCGGCTCACTCTACCTGTCCCAAGTCCATGGCAATTGCGCGGCCTTCCTTCCTCACACGGGTAATTTTAGAACGTGTCCCTGCATGTCACGAGCCACATATAGTACTGGTGTGTAGTGAGCCAAGAGACACATCAAGACTGACTGTGGAGGGTCATAAATTGAGTTTATCAGGAAGGTTGCTTACCAGTCATTTGGTTTCCTGTCGACGTGTGCCTTGTAAGTTATTGCATTAATTTACAGCCGTTTTGAAAGGGTGAAAGCTTAACACGAATGTGTGCATTGGCATTCGGAGGCTGTCACGGCTGCCTCTCGATCTGTTGGTGCAACTATCAGTGTGTGACACCATCAGCCAGGACAAGTCGGGTCTGCATTGATAGTTTGACGAGACCCCGGGTACTCCGTACCAGTACTGAGCATTGAGCGTCAGGGTGCACCAGTTGACACGTGTTGTCTGGGGCTGGCAGCGACGAAATGGTGAATGAGTTGGGGCTGTAAACTCCCAACCTGGAAAGTTGGCGCCACCAAGCCCGCAGAACGCCAAGATCTCCTCCTTCTCTGCGTCGAAGGCCGCTTGATCGCATCGTGATATCCGGGTAGATTCGTCACAGGCCAGATTGCCTGGTGGGGTGCTTTTTGTGCCATGGTACGGAGTACGGTATCGTCGAAATGGTGAGCAGGTCGTGTGTAGCTTATGTAGCAGCGTTGCCGCGAGCCGCGTTAATCCTGCTATGCGACATCCTCTTCACTCCACAACTTACAGGAACTTCGGACATGGCCATCAATTGGCCAAGCCGTAGAATGCTCCGTCTTCTGTACGGAGTGTGCCTTCGAGGAATCATTTACAGACTTCGTCGCCGGGTCAAGTGCTACTACTATCAACCACCCAGGACCCCCCACTGAGATGAGCAGACCATGTCCACGCTAGGTTCCTGCAATGCAGGACAAGAATAGTTTTGCTCCATATTACTCCGTACTGTCTGTCCAGTACAAATCCATTTGTGACAAACACTTTGTTTCGTGACTCGACTCGGTCCGACAAGTTCTCCGTATCCTGGAATTGGATCCTCAAGGATCGATGAAACGAGTGGCCCTAGTAGCCTACAATAGTACGGGTTAACCCAATAGTACCGCCCAGGAAGCGGTCACTTCCTAGTAGGCATTGATTGCCTTTCGTTTGCTTTTCAGCAGCCTGGAGTAAATTGAGTAGTAGCATCAAGATGGATATTATGGAAACACGAGGATAGGATGCGATCGAGACACGGTCAAGAGGGTGCATCATTAGGTCAGAGAGAAGGCCAGAGACATCAGAGACATGTCTCCGTGCTCTCAGTTCCAGTTGGCCAGGGCCAAGGCTAAAGCTTCGCTATCGTTATTGCCACCCCTGGTCGGTTCTGGACAAGCCTCGTCTGATTAAATTTTTGCAAGGAGCCACTGAACGGTACAGGCGAGATGAGCATCATTCTGTCAGCGCACGACTTGCGGGTAAGTGCTCCAGCATTGGTTGATGAGTCGCCTGAGCAGTTGCGCGGGCAATTTCGTGAATTTGCTGGCCATCCTAATGGCAGTGCTATTATGGGGAACCTAGGCAAGACGTCGCTGTTGATTTTCTGTGACAGTCAGCCATCTCAGGGGATGGGTCATGGTTTGTACCTTGATCCAGAGGTGGGTAATACTGTATGGTCCTCCGTAGCAGTTGAGCAGTTGCCATGGCCATGTGCATCCATTCGTATCTGCACACTGCTGCCGTTGCTGTCGTGGGCGATCCTTGCTGTGTTTGGCCAGATGACGCAAACCTTCTATTGCCAGTCGTGTGATGGAGTGTCGATGCTGTAAAGGCCGCAAACAGAGTTTTGAGAGTTCGGTAGGGAGTAAGGTACGGAGTACGTAGCTTAGAATGGCGATCAGCGGTGGGCCAAATAAACAGTCTGATACAGAGAGCCACAGTCGAAACAGCCTCATAACAGCCTGTTTGGTGACGGTGACGGTGAGGGTCATGACTTGGATATTTGGATCAACAATGGGCGCTGTTGCCTGCCTTCTTGCCTGCTGCCCCGTCAGCCGTTTCGATGGCGTTTCTTGCTGGTTTAGTTCGGGGGCAGGGGGGCAGGAGCGACCGGGCACCAGGCGACCAGGCAAACAGCCGCGAAGGTCACCAATAAACGCAGCGAACGGGAGTGTGTGCGACCAGGCATTGTGCAAGCAAGTGGCCCGTCCACCACGGCTGCATTATGTATGTGCATATACTCCGATATTATTTTTAATTACTACGTCCCAAGTGGCTTCTTGCAGCAGGTTTTTGTGATTACCTGGCGTGGTGCTGCGACCTCAACGGCCGGCCATCCATCACGTCACCCGGCCTAAAAGCTGTCTCTGCCTCTCTGCCCAAAGCTCTGCCCAAAGCTCTGTCCTTCCAGCTCCTGCAGTGGCCCAATGCACGCATGCGGCAAAACAAGAGTTGAAGCCCCAGGGATGCAGGCGCATGGCCGAGGTGGGATAAGGGACGGGTGAAGCTGTGCTGCGTAACAAAGACGAGACGAGGCTACTTGCGTGTCGGCAATTTTGGGGGCTATGACAACATCGACTCGATGTACCTGCTTCAGGCTCAGCCACCAGTCAGTCAGCGTAATAGTAACGAGGGTACCGGGCGTCTACCTGAGCCACATGTACTGCCAGCTACCTAGGTACTTGGTCGGCCTAGTACTTGAGTCAATTGGTGCATCTTAGCACCCAAACCATCAGAGTATCTCCACCACACCAGTTGACCTCCTCGACAGCTTTTCCGCCACTAGCGACTCGTGCTGCCCGAGGCATTCCTTTTTTTTCCTCAATGCTGAGATGCCATCTAGGTGTCTTCTAGACTTTGTGCCAGCGCGAACAAAACGGCGTGCCAATCGGCTACACCCAGATGGCGCGGCTCCCGTTACAGGCAAAGCGGGTCTTTCTACATCAAGTTGTGTAACAGCACGGGCTTTGGGTTCGTACCGCGCTGGTCCCATTAGCCACCTGCCACCCACCACTCACCACCACTCAGTGCTCCAGCAAAACGGCTGGGCTCTTTTCGATTTTTTGGGGCCACTTTTCATTTTTTTTATTAGAATGTTGAGACGTACGGCTCCCGCAAGGCAAGCAAGATGGCCGCACCCACTCCCCTGCTTCCCTTGTCCGAACCCCCACCTGCATGCAGCGAATGAACTGGGGTGTATCGAAGCTGTTGCATTCTCCAACAAGCTCGATACCAGGAGATAATGCACCATGCCATTTTCACACCACTTGACATTACCACCTATCCAATTCACGTCTCCATTTCCTTGCTTCTTTCCCTGCTTTGAGCTCTGGGTACATACAACCCTACCCACTTCCTGTCCACTTAGTAAATACCAAGCTTCGTGGAGAAGGTCCTTGTCAGCTTGCAACTGTCGTGTTGGTGCTCTCTTATAACTCGACTCTACTCCTACGTCGCCGTCGCCGTCGCTATTGTCGTCACATCCGCTCTCGCCGTGTGCAAGCACAATCAATACTCAGCACTCTTGCACCATCCGTTTGCATCCATCTTAGAATCAACACCGAGACAATCCTATCACCGTTAGCCTTTCATACGAACGCGAGGAGAGCAGCATACCAGGCCTATTGGTTTCATTCTTGGCAGCTGCTCTCTTTATTTTCGTCTTACAAACGCCCATCGCGAGCTATCAATTCGTCGGCTTTCAGTACCCTCGAGATTCGCTATCCCGGTATCATCGGACAATTCTGTCCCCAGACGCTCCATAACCAGCCACGATGCGCATCACTCAGCTTCTAGGCGCACTTGGCGCCACGTCTGTAGCCATTGCGACTTCACCAGGAGAGCCCTCCAACTCCTTGAGTGCATCCATACCAACGGAGAAACCATTGGCGAAATCAACCAGCATACCGGCTGCCCTGCAGAGCGGTATTACCTTGAGCCGCTCACGGTCTGTCAACGCAACCAGTATGTTCCTCTTATCATGTTACTCTTCCTCCATGGCATCTTCAGCGTAAATACTTTGCGTTGCGCTGCACAGCTCCTAACACTTTATTAGCTCCTCTTATCACGACAACCTCACCTACCACAACACCCAATACCACCACATCGCACACGGCAGAGCTCACTGGGGGCGCCATTCCACAACAAATGCAAGCTTCCATG